CTGGCGGCGCTGCTCAAGGCGCCCGGCCTGCGCTTCTTCAACCGGGTCGAGGAGCAAAACTGCCTCGCCATGCTCGTCTTCTGCACCATCCTGTGGGCGACCGAGGTGATCCCGCTGTTTGTCACGTCGCTGCTGGTGCCGCTGCTGGCCGTGACGCTGCGCGTGGCGCGCACCGACGACGGCCACGACCGGCGCATGACGGCGAGCGAGACGACCAAGTGGATCTTTTCGCAGATGTTTGCGCCCAACATGTGCCTGCTGCTGGGCGGCTTCACGCTGGCCGCCGCGCTGTCCAAGTACGGCATCGACAAGATCCTGGCCACCAAGGTGCTGCGCTTGGCGGGCACGCGGCCGAGCACGGTGCTGCTGGCGCACATGTGCGTGGCGTGCTTTGCCAGCATGTGGATCAGCAACGTGGCGGCGCCCGTGCTCATGTACTCGCTCATCCAGCCCATCCTGCGCAACCTGCCGTCCAAGTCGCCGTACGCCTCGAGCCTCATCATGGGCATTGCGCTCGCCTCCAACATCGGCGGCCAGACGTCGCCCATCGCCTCGCCGCAGAACCTTATCGCGCTGCAGTACATGAAGCAGCCCGTCGGCTGGCTCCAGTGGTTCGCCGTCACGATCCCCGTCTCTGGGCTGTCGCTCGTCGTCATCTGGCTGCTACTGCTCTGGTCGTACGGCAGCGGCAGCGGCACCGTCATCAAGCGCATCAACGAGACGCGCGACCCGTTCACGCGCATCCAGTGGTTCATCGCCGGCGTCTCGGTGGCGACGATTGCGCTGTGGTGCCTCGAAAAGAACTTTGAGTGGCTCGTCGGCGACATGGGCATCATCGCCATTGTGCCCATCGTTCTGTTCTTCGGCACGGGCATCCTGACAAAGGAAGACTTCAACACGTTCCTCTGGACCGTCGTCTTTCTCGCCATGGGCGGCATCGCCCTCGGAAAGGCCGTCACCTCGAGCGGCCTCCTCGAGAGCCTCGACGACGTCATCCAGGAGATTGTCAAGGAGCTTCCCATCTGGCAGATCCTCATCTGTCTCCTCTGCATCGGCCTCGTCGTGGCCACCTTTATCGTGAGTGCCGGGAAAGCGGCGGGTTGCTGATGGCTGCGGCCATTGTCCGTCCGCCCTTCCGTCCGTCCGTTTTCAGATCGGACCTTGGCTAACCCATCCTCATCCCCGTCCGTTGGCGCCTCGACCCTTCCTCTTCCCTGTGTCTCGCCTTCGTCGTCGTGCAGTCGCACACGATCGCCGCAGTGCTCCTGGTGCCCATCGCGGCGCAGGTGGGCGAATCGCTCGAGACGCCGCACCCGCGCCTCCTGATCCTCGTCACGGCGCTCGTCGCCAGCGCCGCAATGGGCCTGCCCGTCAGTGGCTACCCGAACCAGATTGCCGTTTCCATGGAGGACGACCTCGGCGACCGCTACGTCTCGGTAAAGGACTTCCTCAAGGTCGGCATCATCGCATCCGTCTGCGCCACCCTCATCATCGGTACCATTGGCGTCGTCATCATGTTCGCCCTCCAGTTCTGAGCCCGGGCTCTCCCTCTCTCTCTCTCCCTCTCCCCATAGCCTCGCCTGCGGGCGAGTGGCTCCTCTCCGTCGTCGTCGTCGTCGTCGTCGTCGTCTTCGCGGCTCGCTGCGTGGTTCGTCGGTCTCGACTTGGCTGAGCACACGCTCGCCGGTCGCGGTGGTGGCATGGCTTTGTAATTAGAACGTACAGCGGCCGCTGGAAGAGCACGCGGTGATGTTCATGAGTCGTGGCGGGCGAGCGGGCGGGCGCGTGGGCGGTAGTCGAGCCTGCCTGCCCGCCTGCCTGCCTGCCTGCCTGACTCGCTCGAGATCGCCAAAGCACCACCATTGCGAGTCTGTCCCGACCCTCTTCTCCAACCCCTGCCTTCCCTTACTCCTTACCCTCTGCTATCGCTGCTCGGGCCCCGACCGCTACTCGAGCTCCTCGTCGCCCACGTCCTCGTCGCCCACGTCGACGACGCTCTTGCTGGGCCGCCAGACCATGACAATGTTGTCCTCGGCCGCGCTGGTCAGGGCCCACTCGAGGTGCGGGCTCCACGCCAGGTCCGTGGGCCGGCTCGTGTGGCCGCCGTGGACAAAGACGAGCTCCGGCGGGCCGTCCTCGGCGTCCTCGGGCGTCTGCTCCATGCCGATCCGGCTGAGGTCCCAGATGTTGATCCGGCGGTCGGCGCTCGCCGAGGCGAGCACCGTCGAGTTGTGCGGCGAAAAGCAGAGGCCCTGGATCTCGTCGGTGTGGCCCTCGAGCGAGTGCAGCTTGACCTTGAGGTTGCGCAGGTCCCACACGCCCACCGTCTTGTCGGCCGACCCCGTGACGAGGATGTACTCGTTCTCCTGGTTAAAGGCCAGCGCGTTGACCTCGCCGGCGTGCGCCTCGACGCGGTACTTGGGCGTGCTCGCCTCATCGCGCACGTCCCAGATGAGCAGCTGGCGGTCGTCGCCCACCGAGCCAAACAGCGACTCGTGGTGCGAGTGCCACGCCACGTCCTCAACCACCGACGTGTGGCCGCGGTAGGTCTGCAGCGGCGCGAGCGTGTTGTTGCCCTTCTTGTACGCGTTGATGTCCCAGTGGCAGACTGTCGTGTCCTCGGACGCCGCGAGGATGTGGCCCTGCTTGAGCGGCGACCACGCCAGGCCGTACCTGTTGAGCGGGCGGGCAGCGGTAGAATGCACGAGGGCCGGGAGGGGTTCCTGGTCAGCCTGGCTCATCGATCTCTGCCTGCCTGTTGGCCGCTCCTTGCTCTCGTCGCCAGTTCCTCGCCGGCTGCTCACCCTTCCTTCTTCTGCCCCTTGAGGATAATGTCCGGCCGGCACTTGCCGTCGGCGTCGGGCGTGTTGCTGTGCTTTGTCCGGTCAAAGACGTACGTCTCGCCCATGACGGTGCGGGTGGCGATCAGGTCGCAGTTTTGCGGGCAGTAGCGGGCGCGGTTGACCTCGCCGTCGTGGTTGATCTTCTGGACGATCGAGAGGCGGGCCGTGGTGGCCGAGTAGCTCCCGATCTCGCCCTTGTCCTCGTCGTACTCGCGCAAATCGAGCGACGGGTCAGACGACGGCCCGTCGGCGCCCGTGTGCGGCAGCTGCACCTGTGCAATCTGGAGGTAGTTTTGGTCCTGCCCGGACGTGTGGGTGCCGAGCAGGAGGCGGTGCTGCGTGTACGACTTGTCCGCCGGTCTGTCGGTGGTGTGCAGGTGGGACAGTGGGGATCGAGGACCGTCGAGGCTGGTCAACAGGCGGTCCAGTGGAGAGCGGGTCGCTGTACATGGGCTGGCCGGGACACTCACGTGTCCCTGTCTGGGAACCACTGGCAGGTGAGCGAGGGCCATTCCAGCGCGTGCGTCACCACAAGGTCGTAGAGGAAGGGCGAGTTCTTCTTCCAGACTGTCAGGGCGGGCAGAGAGGGGCAGCGTAGCGGACGGTCAGCGGATCCTCTCGTCGGCTGTGCGCGGAGCTTCTTGTGCGAAGCGAGCGAGCTGTGCCCGCGAGCACTCACTCTTGTATTCCTCGTTGGAGAGCATGGCCTGGGCGTTGGCCGCGTCGTCCTGGTCGATCTCGATGGTCTCCATCGTGGCAGGCTCGGCGGTGGTGCTGCTGTGGAGGTGCCTGTGTGCGGCCGCGATGTGTTGATCTGTGGTCAAGTGGTCAGGAGACGGGGTTGGAGAGTTACGATGTGTGCGGGTGTCTTGTGGAGTGGGGCTGCAGCAGCGGGGCGGTGGGGATGACGATGGCGATGGCGGCGGTGGTGATGGTCAAGAGCGGCGGCGACCAAGAAGAGTGGAGTGAGTTGGCTGGCTGGCTGGCCGGGCGGCGGGGTGTTGGCCAGCTGGGGGCAGCCAGCCAGACAGGCAGGCAGGCAACCAACCCGAGCCGTCGCACGCGCTCCTCGCCTCTGGGCCCGTCTGAAAAATGCCGACGGGGCTCGACGAAAGCAGACGCGTCACTCTCGCGTTGAGTGCACCCTCGAGCTCAGGCCCGCGCTCCCAGAACGATCCGGCAAGTCCCGTTTCTACATTCTGGCCAAACATCGAGCAGCGAGGGTATTGGGAGTACAGGATATGACACGAAGACGAGGGCAGCAAGAGCGGGGCTACTGCAGCTTGGCCTTCGAGTAGCCCTCGCGGCTGCGCACCCTGCCGGCCGGGCGGGCCTGCGCGTCCTCGAGGAAGCTGCGCACCGCCAGCACCTCCTTTTTCCAGCCGTTGAGCTTCTTTCCGTCCACCAGGCCGAAGCGCAGCAGCAGACTGCTGACGAACGCCTCGAGCGCGAACAGATAGAGCAGCACCGCGAGCGTGGCCTGTGCCGCCCACCGCACGGGCGACAGGCGGCCCGCCGCATCGAGCACGTCGACGGCGACCACGTTGAGGCCCTTGGACGCCGGCAGCTTGCGTTCGGCGGCACGCACGTCAAACGGCAGCTGGACACCCTCGATGGCCTCGGCGGCACGCAGCCCGCTCGAAAAGCCGTCCTCGTGGAAGCCGTAGTTGGTCCACGCGCCAGCGAAAAACAGGCCGTTGCGCCCCTGGAGCGGCTTGAGCTCCTTTTGCGCCTGCACCGTGTCAGGCGTGTAGAGCGGGTGGGTGTACTTTTGCGTCCGCAGTACCAGCGACGGGTCCGGCTTGTACGGCGACGAGTCGCGTTCGGCCGGGTTGAGCGTGACGAGCACGTCGCCAAACTTGGACGTCGGGATGTGCTGCAGGATATTCATGTTGTACGTCAGACAGACAACGTCGACGTCGTCCGAGCCGTTGTCGGCGCCGCCGTTGGCCTGCTGGCCCGCCTCGGCCGCCGAGACGGTCTCGGTGACAAAGTTCCATGCCGACCACGCCTGCCTCCGCACGGGCAGCAGCTGCAGAGCGGGCCAAGGGAGGAGAGCAAAGGTCGAACCTCAGTCAGTCGAAATGGTCGTCGCGGGCCCTGCGTATCTCGAGCTGAGCCTCTGCGTTCCCTCATCTGTCCCGCCATACTCACCCGCTTGTCGGCGTGGAGCACGGCGACATTCTCGCTAAAGTGGAAGCGCTCGAGCGTCTTGCGCACCTCGCTGTCGCTGGGCAGCGCCTCGTCGAGGATGGCCACACTCGTGTCGGCGTGGCAAGCGAAGATGACCTTGTCGAAGCGGCCAGGCGCCTCGCTGCGGTTGGCGTCGCACAGCACCCAGCCGTTCTCCTGCCTGCGTGCCGAGACGATCTCGCCGGCCTTGCCGCGGTGGATGCGCTCGTCGGGCAGCTTGGAGATGATGCGCTCAACATAGTTGCGCGAGCCTCCCTTGCAGGTGAGCCACTGCGGGCGGTTGACGAGCTGGAGGAGGTGGTGGTTGTGCATGAAGCGCAGCAGCGTGATGGCGGGGAACGACGACAGGGCCGTCGAGGGGGCGGTGCTCCAGATGCTCGCCGTGACGGGCTGCAGGGGCGAAGCGAGGAGACACAATCGGCGGTGCGATGCTGGTCAGCGGCGAGATCGGGGGGGAGCCCCGGGAGATTACACTGAGCGGTGCCTTGCGACTTACGATGAGGTAATTGCGGACAAAGGCGTCCGAGTAGCCGCGCTGCTTGAGCCACTCTCCGATGCTGATTTCCTGGCCGACGTGGTGCTGGTTCTGGCGGAGGTAGTCGACCGACTGCTGGTTGAAGCGTATGATGTCCCACACCATCCTCCAGTGAGCCGGGTTGAACAGGTTGCGGGGCTGGCAGAAGAGGGCGGCGGGGCTGGTGCCGGCCCACTCAAACATGCCGCGCTCTGCCTCGACGCCAGTGGCGTGGTGCTGCGCGTTGGGCCGGGGCGTCTTGCCGTACCTCGATACCGAAAAGCTCATCTCGGAGTCGAGGATTTCGACGCCGACCAGCTTGAAGAAGCGGAGGAGGTTGGGGTAGGTGACCTCGTTGAAGACGATGAAGCCAGTGTCGACTGGGGTGCTCTCGTTTCCAGACGAGCGCGGATGGACAAAGTCCTGGGTGTTTGTGTGTCCTCCGATCCATTCGCCGGGTTCGAAGAGATGCACCTCGTGGTCCGAGTGCTCGTTGAGGGCCCACACGGCGCCGAGGCCGGATACGCCACCGCCGACGACTGCGACGCGCATCGCGAGGCAAGGGGAGGGTGAGAAGGGGGGGACGGAGGGTGGGTTATGTCCAACGGGAGCCTAGAGCCGAGGCGATAGCTGGCACGAGGGGATGGGACTCGAGCGAGTGGCAAAGGGAGGATGAGGGAGGGGAGGCAAAAGAGGATGTATGGTGGAAGATGGGAAGAAAGCAGCGCGTGGAAGCTGCGAAAGTGGACCCTCGCAGACCCCGGCTGGCCTGACGGTGGCTGCCTGGCTGCCTGGCAGCCTCTCGCCATGCGCGCTGAGACAATCGGCGGTGCGCACGGTCGCCCGCCTGCCAGGCCAGGCCAGGCCAGGCCATGCCGTGCCCCCGCCACCGCTCCTTGGCCCGATTTCCGCGAATCGAGGATGAGGAGGCGGTTGAGTGGAGGCAGCGGCACCAGCTCAAGCCAGGGTCCACCCGCCATGCCTGCTTGCCTGCCTGCCTCTCTCTGACTCTGACCTCGACGCCGACGCCTGCTGGCCTCCAAAAAAAAAATTGGGCTGAGTCCTTCCGGCCTGGCTCCCTCTTGCCTCCCGAGCAACCCCTCCTCTCGACCCAACCACCACTATCGCGGCCAGCATCGTCCCGGGAGACCATAGCATCGCCGCAGCTTCACCTCTCTGCTGCTCGCCCGACATGCTGCACGGCGGCTCCACCCAAAAGGTCGGCCTCAGCGCCTCACCCTCGTGGACCAGCATCCTCTCCGTCGCCGGCGTCGTCGAGGCCCTCCGAGAACTCTTCTCCTCGTCACAGTTCCGCGACGGCATCAAGTTCTTTGCCATCGGCGCAGCCCTCTCCACAACAAAGTCGATCCTCAACGTGAGCACCCGCCTTTGCTTGCCGTCAGCTGCCTTGAGCCCTACGTGGCCATGCTGAACCCTTTCTTCCGCCTCCTCGCCCGCTCAAACCCTTTCCTCCTCAAACCTACAGTACGTCTGGTCCAACGTCCGCCGTCTCTTCCTCCACAAGGCCGTCATCCGCGACACGGACCCCGCCTACCAGGCCGTCTTGCGCTACGTCGTCGACGCCGGCGCCTGGTCAAAGTCGGCCCGCGACGTCGAGGTCTCGAGCTACCCGCGCATGCCCTACGACTATGTCCGTGACGAAGACGACGGCGGCACCGGCGGAGAGCTCGTCGACCTCGACTCGGTCGAGCTCGGCATCAATGGCGACACCCACCGCAAGAGCGAGACCCGCGTCCACTTTTTCCCGCTGGCCACCGACTCGTTCCGGTGAGTGGCCCGCTTCATGCACAGCCCAGCCCTCTCCTCTGCCCTGCCCTTGCGGCTCGCCCGAGTCCCTGACCCCCTTTCCTTTTCTTCCCTGATCTTTCCCCCTCTGGCCTCCCTGCTGCCCCTCTCGCACGCCAGCTTCTCCTACGAGGGCACGCCCGTCTGGTGCACGCGCAAGCGCGAGCAGATCGGCGACAGCAACTTCCAGGACACGCTCGAGCTCAACTTCCTCACATTCTCGCGCCAGCCGCTCCGCCGCTTTTTTGTAGAGGCCCGCGTCACCTTCTCGCAGTACAACTCGGGCAAGGTCGTCGTCATGAACATCGACAAGTACATGAACTGGTCGCAGGCGGCGGCGCGCCCCAAGCGCTACTTTAACAGCATCCACCTGCCGGGAGACACCAAGGAAAAGCTGCTGGCCGACGCCAAGACGTTCCTGCTGCCGAGCAACCGCAAGTGGTACGCCGACCGCGGCATCCCCTACCGACGCGGCTACCTCCTCTACGGCCGACCGGGCAGCGGAAAGACCAGCACCGTCCACGCGCTCGCCAGCGAGCTCGACCTCAAGATCTACACGGTCGCGCTGACGTCGAAGAAGTGGGTAGCAGCGAGGGTCGCGAGGCGCCCGTACGGACATGAGACTTCGATTCGTCTGCTGAGCCTCCCTTGACCATGCCCTTTTCTCGGCATCGCCGCCGAGCAGGATGTCCAACGCCGTCTTCCAGGAGATGCTGGCCAGCGTCCCGCCCAAGTCGATTGTGCTGATCGAGGACATCGACGCGGTGAGTTGGACGCTCGGCGCCGTGCAGCTGATTTTTCGAGGCCGACACTGACGAGATTACCGAATGTCGTCTCTCCCCCGCGTCGCCTCTGCTCCCGGCCCCCCGCAGGTCTTCCAATCCAGAGTCATGAAGGAGACGAGCGACGACGTGGCCGACGGCATGGCCGACCGCATCGAGATGCCCTCGCGGGCGTCGGCCCTCCGGCAAGCGCAGGAGGATGCCGCCGCCGCCGCCAACACGTCCGACGTCACTTTCCAGACGCTGCTCAACGTCATCGACGGCGTCGGCGCGCCCGAGGGGCGGATACTCATCATGACGACCAACCACCGCGAGCTGCTCGACGAGGCCCTGATCCGACCGGTAAGTGCCCGCTCCGAGCTTCCAGCGGGCGGACTGGCGCAGAACAGCAGATGGCTGACCTTTCTGCGACTTCCTCCACCCCCACCGGGCAACAGGGCCGCATCGACCTCCAGATCGCCTACATGTACGCGACCAAGGGCCAGGTGCTTGATCTCTTTACGCGGTGGTACGAGCAGCTCGCCACGTCGCCAACAGCGCCACTCGGAGGTGGGGCCGGAGCGGAGAAAAGTCTGCCAGCGTCGTCGTCGTCGTCGGACGAGGGTGCGCTCGATCATGCCAAGCTGCGGGAGCTGGCGGCGCGCTTCGTGGCCCAGGTACCCGAGGGCGAGCTGTCGCTTGCCGCCATCCAGGGCTTCCTGCTGCTGCACAAGGAGGACCCGCACGGCGCCGTAGACAATGTAGCGGCGTGGCTCAGGGAGCAGGCGGATGCCAAGTAGCGGTACATACAGTAGAGGCGGGCGAGTCGAGTCCCTTTGCATTATAGATCTGACCATCCTTTCGCACCGCGTCGCGTCCACGTCGTAGCACGCCGCTGAGATCCCGTGGCTAGGCGTGGAGCGCCCTTCCCCCCTCGCCTGTTCTTGCACTGCTGTATCCTGCCCCGCCTAGCCTGTCCTCTGAACATTCCACCGCACATTGGCGACTGACTGGAGTGCTGGCACTGCCATCACCATCGAGAAGCTAGGTGTAGCTGCCCTCGGCCCGACCGCCTGGTGCTGTGCACGGAGGGGAACCGGCCGATGGGCCTCAGAAGCGCAGAAGTGGGTCGGGTGAGGGCGACGGTGGAGGGGTATCGAAAACGACCATAAAATTGTAACGCGGTTATATATGCAAAATCTGGCCGCTGTGACATGAAATGGCCGGTTGGCCCAATTGGTAAGGCGTCTGACTACGATTCAGTAGCACACACGCCTTGTGCTCTCTGTTGTATCATCAGGAGATTCTGGGTTCGAGCCCCAGGCTGGTCATCTTCTTTTTCTTCTTCGCTTTCTGAGCATCTCGCTAGAGGCCGAAGACTTTTTGGAGCTGGGGAAGGCGGGGTGGTTTGAACCAAATCCAGGTTCTGGGTTCGAGCCCGCGGCGCCTTTTTTCCCGATGGCCGGGATCGGGCGGCGAGAAGGTCGGGCGGTTGGCGCGGTTTTGAAAGCGGGCTGCTGGGATTGGACGGGACGCCGGGGGGGCTCGGGCTTTCGCCGAGGTCTCGAGTCAGGGCTAGTTCCTTTCCCCCTCTCTTTCGCCACCTCCCACCATCCATTCTCACGCTCCGCGCCGCGCCACGCATCACTCGGTTCCCTCCGAGCCTAGCCGCCTGCACCTCTCTCACCCTTCTATCGCCCTCGACGACGACGATGCGAGCCTCGTCCATCCTGCGCCTCAGCCGGGTCGCGCTGGCGTCGCCGACGGCGGCACGGCGCGGCCTCGCCACCCACGCCTCGGCCTCGTCGTCGTCGACTGCGCCGACGAACCTGATCGAAAAGATTGTCCAGCGGTACGCCGTCGACCTGTCTCCGCAGCAGCAGGTGCGGGCGGGCGACTACGTGTCGATCCGGCCCAACGTCGTCATGACGCACGACAACACGGGCCCGGTGATTTCCAAGTTTGGCTCGATTGGCGCGACGGCGATCCGGGATCCGGACCAGGTCGTCTTTGCGCTCGACCACGATGTGCAGAACAAGTCGGACAAGAACCTGGAAAAGTACAGCCGCATCGAGAGCTTTGCGCGCCAGCACAACGTCGACTTCTACCCGGCGGGGCGCGGCATCGGCCACCAGGTGCTGGTCGAGGAAGGGTACGCGTTCCCGCAGACGCTGGCCGTGGCGTCCGACAGCCACTCGAACATGTACGGCGGCGTCGGGTGCCTGGGCACGCCCATCGTGCGCACCGACGCCGCCGCCATCTGGGCGACGGGCCAGACGTGGTGGCAGATCCCGCAGGTGGTCAAGGTCGAGCTGACGGGCCAGCTGCCCGCCGGCGTGACGGGCAAGGACGTCATCGTGGCGCTCTGCGGCTACTTCAACGAGGACCAGGTGCTCAACGCGGCCATCGAGTTCTCCGGCTCCGGCCTCGACCGCCTGTCGATCGACGAGCGCCTCGCCATTGCCAACATGACGACCGAGTGGGGCGCCCTGGCCGGCGTCTTCCCCGTCGACGACGTGACGCTGTCGTGGTACGAGCGCCAGATCCGCAAGCGCGACCGCCTCGAGCTGCAGCTCGGATCGTCGCCCTCGCCCTCGCGCCACCACCCGCGCCTCAACCTCGAGCGCCTCGACGCCCTCTCCAACGACCTCCTCCGCTCCGATTCGGGCGCCGCTTACGCCAAGCACCTCACCCTCGACCTCTCGACGCTCGTCCCGCACGTCTCGGGCCCCAACAGCGTCAAGGTCTCGACCCCGCTCGACCGCCTGGCCGCCCAGAACATCGCTATCCAAAAGGCCTACCTCGTGTCGTGCGTCAACTCGCGCGCTTCGGACCTCAAGGCCGCCGCCGACGTCATCCGCGGCAAAAAGGTGGCCAAGGGCGTCGAGTTCTACGTGGCCGCCGCGTCGAGCGTGGTGCAGCAGGAGGCCGAGGCGGCCGGTGACTGGGGCGCCCTGATGGCGGCGGGCGCCAGGCCGCTGCCCGCCGGTTGCGGCCCTTGCATCGGCCTCGGCGTCGGCCTGCTCGAGGACGGCGAGGTGGGCATCTCGGCCACCAACCGCAACTACAAGGGCCGCATGGGCTCGCCCAACGCCCAGGCCTACCTCGCGTCACCCGCCGTCGTGGCTGCGTCGGCCATCGAGGGCCGCATCTGCGGACCCAGCGACCTCGACCAGAGCAGCCTCCCACCCTCTGACGGCCTCGCATACTCGATCAAGGTGGCCGATGCGCCCGCACCCGCGGCGGCGACAGAACAGGCCAGCCCTGCCCCCACCACGGCCGCCGCCGACGACTCGTCGCTGCTGCCGTCGTTCCCGGCGTCGTTCCGCGGCCCATTGCTGTTTGCGCCCCAGGACAACCTCAACACCGACGGCATCTACCCGGGCAAGTACACGTACCAGGACGATATCACGCCCGAGAAGCAGGCGCAGGTCGTCATGGAGAACTATGACCCCAACTTTGCGTCGATCGTGTCGTCTCTGCTGCCCTCGCTGCCCGAGCCGGGCAAGGGTGGGCGCGCGGGGCCGATCCTGATCGGCGGCTACAACTTTGGCACGGGCTCGTCGCGCGAGCAGGCGGCGACGGCGCTCAAGTACGCGGGCATCCCGCTCGTGATTGCCGGCTCGTTCGGTGACATCTTCAAGCGCAACGCCATCAACAACGGCCTCATCTGCCTCGAATGCCCCGAACTCGTCGACTCGCTCACGCAGCGCTTCGCGCGGGACGGCAAGCGCGGGGCCGGTGGCAAAAAGGACGGCGAGATCACCGTCATGCTCGACGGCGTCGAGGCGAGCGTGCGCAGCGTCAACGGCGAGCTCAAGGTCAGCTGGAAGGACGGCGCCGCCCCCGCCGAGGAGTACACGACCATCCCCGCCGGCATCGGCCGCAGCGTCCAGGAGATCTTTGTCGCGGGCGGCCTGGAGAAGTGGGTCAAGCAGAGGATTTAGAGCGGTCGCCCGTCGTGTCGCGGCAGAATAGAATCGATGCATGGCAGAGTCGAGGCGTGACCGTGTCGTGCTGGCTGGTCGTAGCGGTACGAGCCAGGCTCTCTGATACGGTAGCGGCGAGCCTGGTTCCAAGGGTAAGAGTGTGATGGCAAGGCGGCGTTCGATGGCTGCGGGATCGGGATGAGCTCTTTGGTGCTTCCGATGAGCTCGATTGTCCCCGATCCCGATGCCTCCCACCGCGCCGCGATGTGCGCTCCGACCCGACGGGCTACAGCAGCCTAGAGGGCCTACGATCCTGTGTGGCTGGCTGCGGTTCCTTCTTGCCGTCGACGATCCGCACGAGCGAGCGGCAACCCGAGGTATCTGCAAAGCAGGTGCTACGATCCGACTCCGAACAGGTGAGCGGGCTGACGAGAGCGATGGTCCGATCGTAGTCTACCAAGCTCGCTCGCCACAGGGGATGCCGGGCGAGCCGACGTATCGGTCCGCGGACACGATGAGCGAGGGCGGCTCCAATGCCCGTTTTGCCGTACGTTCTTCGAGGCAGGGTGGGTTCTTCCATCTACAGTATGGTAAGAAGTAAGCATCGAGGCGATGCGACCGATGGGTTGGATTTGGCTGCCAGGACTCGAGGTGGATCCATGATCGAGCCGCGGCGAATTGCTACATGCCGGTATCGGTACCGGTGCGTTGCCTGCCAAGCATCGTCAGTAGAGCGGGTTCCCCCCTGACTGCGGGTATCAACGCCTGACCCCATCTTGCCTGTGCAGCTCATCCTGCCTGCCACCCGCGAGCACCGTGTCACCGCCAGTTTCGCTGCCGACCGGTACTTCCGGCGGCATCGTCAGTCAGGACGGCGATTTCTCACCTTCTCTTTTTCGCCTGGATTTTCGGCCAGGATTTTCCCTCGCCGTCTCGTCGGGCACACCTACTACTGACACGTCGGTCGACCTCCTTGCCTCGACCCTCGACAGTGCCCGCCTGTCATCGATCCCACGTATGCCAGGAGGACATCCTCCGTCCACGGAGCTCGACGGGGACAACGAGCTCTATCCATCATCGTCGCAATGCGACCCCTCGAGACCCTAGCCTGCTTTGTCCGCTGGCGCAAGGAGGTAATGTCCCCAGCCAGACGGACCGAGGCACCGACGTACAAACAAACAGGCGGAGGCCATCGAGAGGGGGCGGCCGGGCGCATTCGACGGCTGCGCAGCCCTGCTGCTCCCCTTCCGATGGAGCGTACCAAAGACATCTGCCTGGGCCCTCCTGCTCGTAACTACGGCAAAGTGGCAGACCGACCATGTCGTGTGAGCCAAGGAGTCGACGGCCCGGCGGGCCCTGGCCAGCGATGGGTATCATGTGCGGTTCCGTGCCTCGGCTCTCGTCGAGCCAGACCAACACCGGCCTGACTTGCCCGACTTGCTCGACTCGGACGCGCTTCGCGTCGCCCGCTATGTGATCATAGCGAGGGGGACAGTGCGATAAGATCACATTCCGCCCCGGCCTGTTTCAGCTAAAATCACATATTCTCAACTCGCAAGTCACATCCCATCAAATCACACGTACGCTTCAAAGTCACACACCCGTTGCGTCGACCGCTCTCGCCCAGCTCCGTCTGGAAGCGTTTCAAACCTCGCTCGGATGGTCATCCGTTGTAAACAACGGGCCGGATGGCGTTGTCGTACAGCACGACGGACCGCGACGAGGCTCGCCGGGCACAGAGGTCTGATGGTGACAAGCGGCTTGCTCGCGGATAGAGCCCCCCGGGGGGGGGGGGGGGCAGCGAGCGAGGAGCAGAGTGTGGCACGGTCCCAACGGGATCAGGGCTCATAGACCGGCGGGGCCGGATGGCGAATCGACCGTCACATAAATGATGGAGCCAAGCGGCTTTCTTCCCCTTTCTGGACGTCGGCTGCCACCATCACCGACTGGCCAATGCTGCTGATTGCCGCCGGGAGCGATGCCGTTTGTCGTTCTCGCCGCCGCGACCTCGCCAGGCGGTGAGACGGTGATGTGCACGCGCGGCGCGACTGTGGCACACGTCTGGCTTCCACCACTTCAACCAGACGGAAGGTCGAGCAAGCTGAGGTCTGCCTGGTTGCCCTTGCCAGCCGCCGCAGCCTTGTGCTGTTTGTGTCTGACCGCCATGTGGACATGGGCGTCGACAGAGAAGCGGCAGCCGGGGCGGGTCGCAGGCGGGAAAACAGATCGACGTCCTCGCTTCCACCAAAAGCACCCTACCCACACCCCGGCATGCGCCCTCTCTTTTCTCTCATCTGCGCACCTCTTCATCGCGAGGGGGCGGGCGAGGTCGTTCGAGTGTGGCCGCTGCCTAGCCGACCCTGCTCTTCCTCCCGTCTTCTTGCGATATGTATGGGCACCGGCAGGGTGCAACGCTGCAGACCGGGGACTCGTAGGGGCTCTAGGCTTCCACCCAACAAGGCCCTGCAGTGCCCTCACGAGTTTGCGACCTGCACCGTCGATCTCTAGCTCCTCGTCCTTCGAAGATGAAGCGCTTTCGTTGCTAGACAAAGAAGGAGCACGGCCGGGCCCCGATACGACAATAACGAGAGGAGAGAAGCCCTCTTGGCCGAAAGTCGGAGCGACGTCCAGAACGGGGAAAGGCGCGATCAGCAGAGACGGCTCGGCGTGCCCTCTCGAAAAGGTAAGCGTTCAGAGCGGAGGGGAAAAGGTCGCTCGCTCGCTCTGCTCCTCGGCCGCACGTCGCCGCAGTCGTGTTTCAGGCCGCCGAGGTCGGGCGTCAGTCCCCCGCGTCCCGACGAGCAGCCGCCATCTTCCACCAAGGCCGTGTCCTGCTCAGGCTCGTATACGACCACTTACCGACGCTTCGCCAGCACGGTGGCGACTCGTTGAAGGAACGACGAGAGTGCACGCCTCGCACTCTCATGCTTGACTTGCCGAAAGCCGTTATGAGGTCGAGCAGGCGGCCGCGGATCACTTCTCATGCGCTTCGATGGATACCACGGTACCTATCTACGGCAAGGCGGACGATCACTAGACTCGCTTCGGGACTGACAGGCCGGTGTCCGTCGGCTCGACACGCCACCTGGTCCATCGCCAAGGCCGCCGCAGCCTTCGACGAAGTCACACCGCAGCCGGCTCACGAGCTGTGCAGTACCTGTCTCCATCCGTGTTCATGATTGCCGTCTCCATTGCTCATTTGACGGACAAGTGGAGGCGCCACGACGGCAGCCGATGACCACGGGGACGGATACGGCACAGTCACCATCCCAAGTCGACAGCGGGATGGACAGCGATGCTGTGCACGTACGTACCAATGTGCGAATGGCCAGGAGGACGGCGCCAGGACAACATGGTGTTAGGACAACGGGAGGGGCGGACGTTTTGTTGTCGGCGTCGTCCGCGGATCTATCAGCATTCTTGATTGTCGATACGTGCTCGAAGATCTGGCGGACGAGACGCATCATGCTAGGTGCCGGCCGTTGCTCGAGCATCGCGACTTGCTCTGCGACGGGATCCTCGATGGCGGCACAGGCGGCAAAGTCGCCTGCCCCTCAAAGGCGGCAGAAGAGGCCGGGTCGCTCCGAACGAGGGAGAGAGGACGCAGGGGAGCGGCGACGGGCGTAACCAACGTGGCAACGGACAAGCATGCAGGGTGTAGGCGTCGATCCCGACGTCGTCCGCCCTCGACCAACACCGGCCCGCAGAAGACGACCGAGCGAGGGAGCGAAAAGGCCGTGCACCGCTCGCTCGCTTGCTCTGCTTGCTTGCGCTTGCTTCTTGCTTGTTTGTTGCAACGCCATGCAGACCCTATCCTTCCCATGCGGGCCACCGCATGATGAAATCAAACCACGCCGGCTCTCGTCGAGGCGAAGGTCGAGCGGCAAGCAAGCGAACACAGCCAGGCCAGGCCACCGTAGCGAACAGGTCGAGAAGAAGATCGAATCAAGAGCGACCAACGTACGAGCCCTAACTGCGCCCTCTGGGCCAGCCGAGGAGGAGAGAAGGCGGCCTCCTTCGGAGCAGACGGCTGTCAAGACGCTCAGCCCGCAAGCATCGAGGGCCCGCTGGGAGCATGCAGGTCGGGTCCAGCCCGCCGCTGCAGGCCTCCCAGAGGTGGCTCCTCGTACGTTAGTTGCACAGCCAGGCCGTGCGTTTGCTTTCGCCCTCTTGCCGGCACCTCGAGACGCGCGACGATCAAGGGTCCGACGCCGCCGCCGCCGACGCCGCCGTACGTGGCCTTGCTTTCGTACATGACCGACCTGCGGGCCTGCTGCGCCTTGACTCTGACACGCCCAGGTAGGCCAGGACTAGCGAAGCCTGGGGACCGGCCTACCTGCGACACGCTGCGCATGTGCGTCGTGATCCCGCCAGGCAAGAGATGGATCGATGCTTGCTTGCTACAGTAGCCGGCTCGTCGGCAGCGAGCAGAATCCGTTGGTCGCCTGCACCGGCACCACTGTGGGTTCCGTCGCGCTCGCGCTCGCGGTGGTCTGGGATCTTGGAGGAGGGATCGACCTCACCTCCCATTCGAAGGCCAGACCACCGCTGCTTGACGTCCGACGACGACGACAACAACGACGACGACGACGACCATCATCATCCTTCCTGGTGCTCGCTGCGATACCTCGCCGTCCTTTCCACTCCCCGCCACCGCCCATTGACGAACCCTTCGACCTGAGCAACTCTGCCAGCGGGCTTGGTCTTGCCCCGCCCTCTGATCCGACGCTCCGACCGAGCGACCGACAACTCGGCCAGTCGAAAAAGCAACTCGGCCAGCGTACATCTCGCTCGGCGCTCCGCCAGAGGCAAAACGCGACCCTTTCCGCAAAAGCTGACGTCCCAACTCCGAGGCTTCCTGCAGCGCGACCGACCCACCGACTGCGGCCGGCTGCCTCTCTCGCCCCTCTTTGCCCGACTCTGTGGTGCGGAGAGTGACCATCCTCTGGCTTGCCCCCGCCACCGATCCGCGAGCGCAAACGCTACCAACCCCGCACGACAGCTCCCCGCCTCGTCGTCGAGCGTCGAGCCCGATCCGATACCAGGCACCGCCAGCTGGGGCCGAGGGACGACACGCTCTTGTTGCGTCCGAGCCGTCTGCGCGACCTGCCTCGCCGAAGCGCATACCCGGAGCTGACCCTCGTCCGGCCAGCCTCCCTCGCCTACGGCCCCTACCACTGCCGACTCGAGGACCTGCTTCGACGCACCCTCTGTAGAACGTCGACGAGCGCAGCTTCGGCCAGTGCCTGCACGCTTTCCCTCACCAACACCGAGCGCAAGCTGAATCGAGCAGGTCCCCCCGGGGCAGGCCCATCAAATAGTCCCGTGCCGCCGCACCCACCGTCTCGACACCGATCCCGGGCTGACGGCGCCTCGGTACCGGAAGGCAAAGGTGCTGGTCGATTCAAGCGCCGCCAACGTGGCATCCGAACCTCCGCTGCTTGCCACCCAGGCGGAGCGCAGCAGTACCACCGACCCGCCGCTGCCACCGCCGAAGCAGCGCAGCGACCCCGGGCCCCCCAACAAGGCTCGTCTCCTTCAGGAACGGACGACGGACGGGCAACGGCACCACGTCGGCTGCCTGGGACGGACACAGCGCCTTTGTGTGTCCTGTCTCTGAGCCTGGCATCGTTGCTCGCTCGAGATCGACGTCGCAGATCCTACAAGTACGTGACAGCCAGTGGGACCAGGTTGAGCATCGGACAGAATCCTCACCCTCCTCGACCCTTTGCCACCTCTCCACTCCATTCGACCCCGCTCCGTTCCGCCTCGCTTTGCTATAATCCACGCTCTCTCCGGCTCGACCGAAACCCACGCTCTTTGCACCCCTTCCGCACCGTCAGCCCGACAGCCAGCCTTGCCGTTGCTTTTCACAGCGACGACAGCACTCACGTTCATTTTGACCTCAGTCTAGCTTCACGTGAGTAGCGCAGGGGGGGAGGCAGGATGGCGACGGTCAGCTGGTCGCCTTGCTAGGTGCCGGTGGTCGAAGCGAAGAAAGCGGGAAGGGTCGGCCGCTCACGCTCCAACGCACCTCTCCTTTGCTCCCGCTTCCGACTTTTCCCCCTGACTTCGTCTTTGTGCCCGATCGATGTCCCGACCACCACCGCCGATCCGCCACACCCCCACCGATCTACGATCTGATGCTGCCTCCCCCTGCTGCCGCTGCCACCCGCGCCCCTGCCGATGTGGTTGGCTGGCATGCTCGCTCATATCCATGGCCGACGACGACGACGACGACGACGACGACGACGACGACGACGACGACGACGACGACGACGATGATTGCCGCGGAACCCGCGTTGCGTTGCTTCGATTTCGACCTCTTGGACCCTGGCGCGCCCATCCCCTTGCATTTCGGATTGCGCGTCGCCTGCCTTGTCGCCCCCAACGACGCCCGCCCGTGCCATTTCCAAACAAACGCGCCCTTGCATCGACCGGCATGGCGACCGCAACTTGACACCTGCTGCTGGCCCCCCTTCCTCGTCCATCGACCCATCGCTCCACCATCGCCCCACCGCCGCCGCCCGCCCGCCCTCCGACCGATGTTCCGGCACCACGTCCATTCGCTGCATCGATGCCATACCGACACTCGCCTGCCTCCTGGCGGCGGCTGGGCTGAACGCTCCCTGCTTGCTGCCTGCCTTCTTTGCCGGCAAAACCTCTCCCGCCTCGCCCCCTGACCTCTCCCCTCTCGCTGCCGCCGCTTGACGACATCGACCAACGACGACGACGGCCACGGAACGCATACACTCGTCCCGCCCCCTTGCTTCGACGTATGCCCCGCTCCCCCATTCCGCCCAACTGACACCTGTCCTGGCATATCCTCATCCTCCGGACGATGCTGCGCTCCCGCCGTCACCCTTGCCCCCGGGTCGGGTTGCGGCTGCCCCCAATGCTCCTGGCGGGACCGACCACACTCTTTTTGTGCGCTGTCATCCTAACCCCTTGCACCTTGCTTGGACGCTCGCAGCCAATCGACCTGCCTCGCCGCTCCCATTCGTAGAGCTGCCGACCAACTTCCCCGAGCCTTCGTCTCGATCTGGCAAACGCGGAGTCCTCAACCTAGCCTGCCTGCGATCCCGCAGCAAACGTGAGTGCATGACCGATGCCCAGCCCAAAGCCAGGCAAAGCTCTCTTGCTCACCGCCTCCTACCCTCTCCCTCCCCCTCCTCTTCCCTTGGTACCGCCCATCGCCCGACCCCGCCGTCGAACCTGCGATGGCCTCTGTCCGCGGATCCACTACTGCTGCCGCCTTCTGCACGCCCATCCTGCCCTTGCTTGCACGCGATGCCGCTGCCCGGTCTTGCTCGTCTCGTCGGACCGTACATGGCGCGCGTCTTTCCCTGCCGCCCGATGCTCCCGGGCCTCTGGACGCTGCCATTCCTGCACGGCTCTCCATTCCTCACGTGTCATCCATGCTTCTCTCGCGCTCCCTCGCCCGCCCCAACCGACACCCACCGTATCGATGCCGACCGCCGCGACTCCGTCCTTGCATCCCTCGTCCTGCGCTCTTCGCCGACATGGATTCCGCCTCCGCCGCCGCCGCCGCCCCGCTTTTGAATCCCGCCAACAAACAAATGCCTTTGTCGTCGTCGGATGCTGCTGCTGCTGCTGCTGCTCCGGTAACGATGCTGCTGCCCTCGCCCCGCCCGGCCCCCTTGCTTTGCGGCCTTCATGGTTTCACGTCATTGCACGACTCGACTCGAATTCCCCTCCGGGACCCTTCCTTTTTCCGCGCCGCGCCCGCTCCGGATCGCTACGGCTGTCGACGCGTGGCCCCCTCCTCGCCCAACGCTACCGACACGCTCTATCACTTCCTCGGCCTCTTGCCCGCGCTTTGCCGTCGCCACCGATTGCCACTGCCGCTTCCTCGCCATTCCCGGGAACCTGTCACATTCCCGGTTGCAGACCTGCAGCACAAGACGCGCCGGTCAAGTTCTTGCTTGCGCCCGCGCCTTGCCCCGCTCTTGCACTTGCTCTAGCAAGATCAGTCACGGTCCAGCCCATCATATACAATCGTCGGAACGTACATCGACTAGGCTCGCAGCGCCCGTCTCCCCTCCCGCCGGCCTCCATACCGAACAGCCGGACCCTCGATCTGCACCTGCACCTGTCCCGTCAATACCGCGCTCGCCTCGACACGCACATCGTTTGACGATCTCAAGACGTCACTTGGCCATCGTTCCTCGCCACCTGCACACCTTGACCTCGATCTCCCACCTTCCTCCTCTCGACCGACGCACGCGCTTGCTGCGACAGGTGAGTGCCCCGGCTCGCTGGTCCCTGCACATTCTCTGCCAGTCGCGGTACGGCCCGCAGCTCGTCTCCGGCACGCTGCGCCGCTCGGCATGGCCTCTTGCCCTCTCTTGCGCCCACGCCGTCTCAGCTGGCAGCCTTTCGGGTGGCACCACCACACCAGCCCGTTGCTCGGCTAGCGTTGGCGGCGGTCAGGCTACGAGGCGTTTCTGCGGCCGAGCTTATGACCCATCCTTTAAAAGGGGACCATGGCTTTATTGGCTTCAGCGGCATCCCATCTTCGTCCGAACCTCTCCATCACCGCCCCACTATCCCTCCCCCTCCCCCGTGCTTCAGCTGACCCCTCCCCTCCCCTTCCTGCCCTTCCCCTGCATCTCCATACCCACTCTCAACTCCTTATCGCTCTTTGCTGCTCGCTCGCTCGCCTGCCTCCTCGCACAACAACTACAACGCTCGCTATCGACACTCCTTCGGCTCTTCGCATCCGGCTTCCATTTCTCCAATCGCATCGTCTGTCATCGTCTCTGCACCACTGCGACCCGCCACATCCCCACCCGCGCGCCTTCGCCCATCATCTTCTACCTGGAACGACAGCATTCAAAACTCTGCCGCTCCTCACTCTCATCAGCCCCCTATCAGCCATCCAATCAGAAACGCGTCTAGCCAACATGCCGCCGTCGACCAGCAGCACCTCCTCGTCGGCAGGACGAAGGAACTCGTTCTACGCGCGCCACCACCGGAGCAACTCGGCCAACTCGACTGGCAGCGCGTCGAGCTCCAAGGGCAAGTCGTCTTCTCGGACGAGGAACCCGTCGCCCCTTGGCCTGAGCAAGCAGCAGACTGCCGTCCTCCTTGCCGCCTCGACCGCCTCGAAACGCTCGTCGATCAGCTCTACCGCCTCCTCTTCGACCTCGGTGGCCTCGACATCCACCTTTGCCACTTCTGGCCCCTCGACCTCGGCAGCGGCCATTGCTGGCGCTGAGCCGCGCAACATGCTGCTCGAGGACGAGTATCAGGACGAGGTCATCGCCCACATGCACACCATGGAGACGCAGACGATGGCGTCGATCGAGCTCATGGACGTCCAGCCGGAGCTGCGGTGGTTCATGCGTCCCTACTTGGTGGATTTCCTCATCGAGATCCACCAGACCTTTCGCCTGCGGCCCGAGACGCTCTTTCTCACGATGAACATAGTCGACCGATACGTGTCGAAGCGCATCGTCTACAAGCGCCACTACCAGCTCGTGGGCTGCGCAGCGCTCCTCATCGCGGCCAAGTTCGAGGACTCCAAGGACCGCGTCCCCTCGGTGGGCGACCTCAGCCAGATGTGCTGCAACGCGTACGACGAGAGCGCCTTTACCCAGATGGAGGGCCACGTCCTCTCGACGATTGGCTGGACCCTTGGCCACCCTACCGCCGAGGCGTGGCTGCGCATCGAAAGCGCTCGCGCCAAGGAGGACATCAAGACGCTCAACGCAGCGCGCTTCCTCCTCGAGGCGAGCCTCTTCCAGCGCGAGTTCATCGGCGTCACTTCGTCAGCCCTGACTCGCGGCGCCCTGATCCTCGCGCGCCTCATCTGCGGCCAGACGTCGCGCCTCCACCGCGCTGCCGTGACCGAGGAGCAGGAGGAGGCGGCCAACAGCGCCGCCCAGATGCTCGACGCCTACCTGGTCGAGAGCCTGCAGGACCTCTCGGTCATCCTCGTCAAGAAGCACTCGCACTCGCACTTTTCCAACGCCTCGACGCTCGTCTGCGACTGGTACCGCGCCCGCGCCGCGGCCGCCGCCGCTCCCGCCGGCCTGCTGCCTGCACAGGCGCTTCGGTCGGGCGAGGGCCGCAACGGAGCCGAGGTCGATGAGGACGAGGACGACGACGAGGATGTCGAGGACGACGACTCGATGTGCTCGCGCTCGACGACGCCATCGTCGATGCTCTCGACTCCGTCCCGCTCGATGGACGAGGACGAGGACGACGAGGACGAGATGCCCGTCACGCCGCTCTCGCTCTACTCGCTCCACGACCCTCTGAGCTCGGCCGCCGCCGCCGCCGTGTCCAACATGTCGGTCGACCGCGCAGCCTCGGTGCACCACCGCGGCGCAGCCTCCGAGGCGGGCAAGGAGAACCGCCCTCACCACCAGCACCACCATTACGCGGCCGCAGCCGAGCGACAGCAGAAGCCGGCGCCGGTCAACGTCAAGGCGCCGACGATTGTCGTCTCCGAGTCGAGGCCCGCGCTCAGCGCCATGCCATCGTGGCAGTGCAACGTCTAATCGCGCGCACGCGCGCGCTTTGATCCCGACGCCGGGAGATGAGAACAAGAAGAAGAAGAAAAGCAAAAGAACGTCACCGCCCACCGTCGTGTTCAGTCCAAGCCTTCAGCCAAGCATTCGGTCCGGCCCTTTGCCAAACCCATCAAGATAGAGCCCAGCATCCCCCCGCCCCCACCCTTTTCCATCCTGCCCCGCCACCCCCCTTTCCTGGCGTCCCGCGACTTTTTGGGCTGGCTCGGCCCGCCTCGGCTCGGTCCGACGACGACGACGACGACGACGACGACGATGACTTCAACGACGGCGGCGGCTTCCACCGACGACCGACGAGCACCCTAGGCATACACAGACGCACGCACGCACCCGCCCACACTTGAGCGCCGCAGCAGACACAGACAGACCCATCGATCCGTTACATCTATATACCCCCACTACGCCTTCTTGAAGCCCGCCCCCCAACCCCTTTCAAACGCCATGCCCCTCTCCATAGCATCCCTTGTCCCCTTAATCCCCCCCTTCGATTTACTCCCGACTCCTCGTCGCTCCTTTTCGGTTCTTTTCGTCGGAGGGATCCCTTGCCCGCTCCTATCTGCCCCACCGACCGCACCTGCTGTATTACTAGATGGCCGGCCGTCCCCCACCTTCCTGGTAGGGGGTTAGGGTTCTGGCCCGGCTTCGTAATCTCGACTGCTTTGCAGCACGCTCCTCAGACTGAACGATGGATGCGTGCCCGGCGCGCGGGGCCCGGCTCTTTGCACTTGACGTGCAGACGGACGCGCGCCAAGGTGAGGCAGGGCGCTCTGTGCCTCGCCACCGCCGATCGTCCTCTGCCCGACCGTAGCGACTCGCCCGCCTGGCCTTTGACCGCCCGCCCTCCCTTCGCTTTGACGCAACATCGCATCGCGTCGATCAAACGAGGATGGACAGGGCCGGTCCCGCCGACGAGGAGATTTCAAGAAAGGTTCCGCACGAGGCCACACGACGGGCCGCGGCATCATCCCCCCTTCCGCTACCGGTCTGCTGATCGTCGGACCAACGCCATGAGGGCGTCGACACATACGGCTTGACACCCTGACAAGACTACAACCAATGACTGTTCTTTTTGCAAGCGTGTCGCAGCAGGTTCGCGCAGCGACAAACGAGACGAACCTGCATCTGGTTCAATCCCCCCAATCTCGAGTACCTGGTCATGCTGCCAGGGCTGGCATGACCTGGCAAGGGGTGGGCCGCGCGGTCTAGACGCGGGCGCGCTCGCCGAGCTCCCTGGCCTTTTCCCTCTCGCGTTCCGTCATGCCCGTCGGCGCGGTGCCCAGCTCGATGCCCGTCGAGCTGGCCGTATCCGCCCTCGTCCCGCCGCCGAGGCCGCCGCCGACGCCGCTGCCCGAAAAGCCCGCGCGGTTGGCGAGGTCGTTGAGCTTGGCCGTGAGCGCGTTGAGCTCCATGTTCTGCGCCAGCACCGCCGCGCGCCCCTTGAGCCGGTCGCTGGCCCACTCGCGGGCCTGCCCGAGCGCCGTGGCGGCGTGCTTGGCCACGTCGGGCGCCTGGAGCGCGTCGCCGAGCCACCACCCCGTGCTGACGCACTCGCGCGCATCGTCGGCCAGCCAGCGGTACCACATCTCGCTGATGGGCACCGTGGCCAGGTGCCAGAGCGAGTGGGCGTCGAGGAATCGGAGGATGGGCGGGAAGTCGAGCACCTCGAGCAGCGCCGCCGCCGTCATGAGGCCCAGCAGCAGCTGCAGCCGCCGGCGGGCGCGCAGCGACGACGACGGCGGTCCGATGCTCGTCACAACGGGGACGGGCGGTGTCGACCCGCCGTTGGGCGTCGCGAGCGCGGATGGCGGCTTCGACGCCCGCAACGCCGCACGCGAGGCGGCCGAACGGTCGGCGATGACGTTGCTCGGGAAGGTCGAGGGCCGCAACGAGTAGATGAGCCAGAGGGCGTTGTGGGCGAGGCCGACGCAGACGTTGGCGGTCATGTTGTAGGCGTAGTCGAAGCGGCCGACGGAGAGGTAGAGGATGTGGAGCGCGAGCGCGGCGACGCACGAGCGCTGCAGGACGCGGAAGCCCGCGGTGCCCGGCGACAGGCGGAAGAGGCGGCAGACGCTGAAAAAGAAGCCGCTGAGGATGACGGCGCCGGCGCTGAAGTAGTCCATCTTTTCGGTGAAGTGCTTGTCGCGGGTGTGGAAGACGGCCGACCAGAGCCAGGCATTGATGCTGATGAGGGTGTGGATGATGTAGACGAGCTTGAGCGGGAAGGCGTCGGGCAGCTGCTTGCGGAACATGAGGAGCGCCTTTAGCTGGACGCGGAGGTTGAGCAGGCTAAAGATGACGCTGAGTGGCTCCTGGGCGCCGAGGAAGCGCACAAAGACCCACTTGCCGTGGTACTGGACCATCTGCTTCTGTACAGGCCGCAGCTGTGCCAGGCGCTCCTCGACCATCTCTTGGGCCTTTGCCGAGGACGACGAGGCCGAGAGGGTACCTGCCTGGACCATGACGTCGGCTGCGTGCTGTGCATCGAGGCGGATCTTTTGTACGCGCGCTGCTGCGTCGTTTGTGACCATGTGGGTGCAGTGGTACTTGCAGTCGTCCTCGCAGGTCCACTTTGTGACGCGGAGGATCCAGGGCAGGCGGTGCGCCGTTAGGACGCCGTCGTCGATGTGGTCGCGGCACAGGTCGGCTGTGCACGAGGCGACGCAATCTTTGTACTCTGGTGAGCGGTCTCCTTGGGATGCCAGCGCCGGGCGGGGGACGAGGCAGAGGATGCCGACGAGCAGTAGGAGGGTGAGGTGGTGCCATGGCAAGGATGCGCTGGTGCGGTGGCCACGCCTTGTCCTACGGCGGTGCTGGGATGCGGGACGATGCCGTGGCGTGTGGCGGTCGAAGGCGGGCCCGCGACGGGGAGCCGTCATGATTGTGGAATGCGAGGGTCGAGGATCGAGGCTGTGGGCCAGCCGGCGAGGTAAGGGGTGAGGGGCTGGGCCGAGCCTGGCTAATGGGCGGATGGCAGCGAGGCGAAGCGGTAGGATGGAGGTAGCACAGCGCTGTGCCAAAGCACAAGAGGAGAGGATGAAGGTGATGGTAGCCTTGCTGCTGTTCCTGGGCTGCCTAGGGTGTTTGAGGCGTGTCGGCGCGGCGCGGATCGAGTGCTAAAGGTGAGAGAGAGTACGAGTGGGGATGGTGCTGCTGTTGGACCGATTGGGTTGCCTTTGTGTATTCTAGGTTGGATCTCGAGGTGCGGGGGAGTAGCAATCGTGCGGCAAAGAGCGAGGTCGAGCAGGGGGGTGTTGATGGTGAAGATGGTGGTGATGGTGGTGGTGGTGGCGGCAGTGAGGGCGGGCGGGGGCGCGTCTTTGGTGCTCGATTGCATGGAAGCGGCCGAGGATGGAAGAATCAGCCTGCCTGCCAGGCCTGGGGCGCACCACGACGGGCCTCGAGACCTCTGGCTCGCCTGGGCCGGCCTGGCCATGCAGAATCGACGCCAACCCAGGGTCCACCTCTCCTCTCCTCGCTCCCCGCTCCCCGCTCCTCGCTCCCCGCTCCCCAGCTCACCCACCACCACCCCCCGCCGCCGCCCCTCTGGCTTATCCAGCAAGCTAGCACAGAGAGAGCCTCGCCCATCCGCCGCGCAGAACTCGTCACGATCAACGTCGCCTCGTCGTCGCAGCTATCGCCACCCACCCGAGCTGCACCGTCCCAGATCGCATGGCCACACAGGCCTAGTCCATCAACCACACGCCCCTCGGCTTCCTTCCCTCCTCAGCCTCCCTACAGGCCATCGCCGACGACCGCCATTCGGCCGCACCATGTCGGCCTCGTCGAGCGGCCAGCACCTCTCCTTCTGGTCCAACTTCCTCGCCCATCACCGCAGGTCCACCTTCTTCCTCGGTCTCTGCACCGGCCTCGTCCTCGGCCTCGGCTCCCTCACCTCGGTCTTCTACCTCGCCGAAAAGCGCGAGCGCAAGAGGCGAAGGCGCCGCCTGCGCGCCTACGGCCTCGACGACGACGACGAGGATGAACGCCTCCGCAGGGAAATCAGGGGCCGCGACTCGATCCAGATCAGGAGCGGTCAGGTGGTCCGCGGCATCGAGGGCCTCATCGGCAACACGCCCCTCATGCGCATCAACAGCCTCTCGGACCTCACCGGTTGCGAGATCCTCGGAAAGGCAGAGTTCCTCAACCCCGCTGGAAGCCCAAAGGACCGCGTCGCCCTCCAGATCCTAAACGACGCAGAGGAAGAGGGTCTCCTCCATCCGAACACTGGCAGCTGCATCTTTGAAGGCACCGTCGGCTCCACCGGCATCTCGCTCGCCACACTGGCAAGAGCAAAAGGTTACCGCTGCTCAATCGTGAGTCGAGTCGGGTAGAGCACAGTGGCTGGCTCCTCTGCTCGTGACGGTGGCATCGCTGACGTGCTCACCCTCGGCCCTCCTTCCCCCCCGCGTTCCTCGCGCCCCCCCCTGCCTACCTCAGGTCATCCCCGACGACGTGGCAAGAGAAAAGGTCGAGGTTCTGCGCAAGCTCGGAGCAGAGATCGAGTCTGTCCGTCCGCGCGGCATCGTCGATCCCCGGCACGTAAGTAGCGCACCCTTCCAGCATTTGGCCGCAGCCGACAGAGCACCGTGGCTGACGAGTTGCCCCCCTATCCTCGTTGCGGCGCCAGTTTGTCAACGAGGCGCGCGCGCGGGCCGAAGCGTTCGGCGACGTCGAACTCGTTGGTCCGCACGCCGATGCCCTGGGTGCGGGCTACCACTTCAAGTCCGAGAGCGGCGATGAGGGCGGCCAGGGCGTCGGCGACGATATCCACCGGAGTGACCTCGTCGTCTCGTCTAAGTCGACGCGCATCGACGGGCAAGACGACGAGCTCGAAAAGCGTCCGCGCGGCTTCTTTGCTGATCAGGTGAGCTGCCGTGACATCCTCGCACTTGGGGTTAAGAGCGTTGGCTGCAAAAAGCCTGCGCTGACAGATGGCTGCCGTCTATCTTTCTCTTCCGTCCGTCTGGCACAGTTTGAAAACCCGTCCAACTTCTGGGCGCACTACAGCAACACGGGCCCCGAAATCTGGCGGCAGACGGGCGGGCTGCTGGACGCCTTTGTCGCGGGCGCGGGTACCGGCGGGACGCTGAGCGGATGCGCGGCCTACTTGAAGCGCGAGTCGTGCAGCAACGAGGGCGGGCGGCGGCACTTTCTCAACGGCCCGCGGGCGCACGGCGAGGTGCGCGTGGTGCTGGCGGACCCGCAGGGATCGGGGCTGTACAACAAGGTCAAGTTCGGCGTCATGTACAGCCCCACCGAGGCGGAGGGCAAGCGGCGCAGGCACCAGGTCGACTCGGTCGTAGAGGGCATCGGCATCAACCGCATCACCAAGAACCTCGAAATGGGACTCCAGTGCGTCGACGATGCCGTCAGGGTATCGGACGATGAGGCGGCCAGGATGGGCAGGTGGCTCGTCCTGAAGTGAGTAGGCCCGACAAGGCCCCGCCCCGAGCGCGACATCGACGCTGGACGAAGCACTGACATTTCGGCATCATCCCCTTTCGACCGGCTCCCCAGCGATGGCCTCTTCCTGGGCTCATCGTCGGCCGTCAATTGCGTGGCGGCGGTGCGCACCGCGCTGCGCCTCAAAAAGGAACGCGGCAGCGACCCGCCACCCGTCGTCGTGACTATCCTGTGCGTAACCTGCCAAGGTCGACGGTCGTTTCGATTCGAGCGATCTCCTCGCCCGCTCGCTGACACAGATCATCTGCCCACGCCCTTCGCCCCCGCTCCGCCAGCTGCGACTCTGGCGCGCGTCATCTGTCCAAGTTCCACGACGACGACGCCTTGAAGCGCCTGGGCGTCGATGCCGGCAGCAGCGACATTTCCGACATTTTGCAAGAGGACTGAGGCGGTTTTGAATACAAAATAGCTGGAGGCTAGGCTGCTCCTGCCCTTCGTAGATTGATCGGCCGTAGAGACGAACCAATCAGGCTGGCGCGGTCGCTGCGGTCGCGGCAACGCCGCCTTCCAGCCCTTCCGCCTTGAGGCCACACTCTTGCAGCACGTGTTGGGCGAGGAGGCTGAGTTCCCTCCACTGCCATCGCTTGAGCTCCTCCATCTTCTTTTGCGCACCGCACGCCGTTGTGGCGCCCCCACGGCCCTTGCCGCCGACGAGGGCCTCGACCTCGTCTACGAACCGCTTTGCGCTCCTCCTGACCTCGGCGTAGTCCTGCTTTTCGTAGACGACGGGCAGGATCGGGTGGCGGAACTGGTCGAGCCACCACTTTGAGTTCCAGTAGTCTGCTTCGCGGCGGTGGAGGATCGAGTGGATGAGGTCCGACGACGGGTTGCCCTCGTCGGACTGGGCGATTTCGTGGGCCGAGGAGAGGTCGTCGTTGAGAAGGTGGAGCATGGCGCGCAGCGAGGGTGGAGAGGAGAGGGCTTCGATGGTCGGGTGGAGCGTGGCGTCGTGGGGCTGCGTCGGTCGGAGCGAGGGCAGCGACGATGCGGGCGAGGCGGCCGAGCCTCGCGAGAGGAGCGGCAGCAGGGAGGCGGGGAGCGCGGAAGCGGCCATGGCGGAGAAGACTCTTGAGCGACGAAGAGGTGGGTTTGGGTGACGATTCGTCGTGGAGGCGAGTGTGCGCTGGTGATGGCGGTGACGGCAGCGGTGGTGGTGGTGGTCGGGAAGGTGGATAGCCAAGGCGGGGCCAGGCAGGCTCGGGACCAAGGGTTGGGTGGCGCCCCACAGCAGGCCTGCCTGCCTCTGACGCTGTGTGGAGGCAGCTTGGCTGGGTGGCCCGCGCCCGCGTCGGTCGTCGCACCGAGAGCCAGCCAGCAGCGGCCACGCCTCGCCTGCCAGTCGACCTAGCTCATGACCCCTCGCCGACCTCCGTCTCCGCAACCCCGTGGCGGCTTCTCAGGACAAGACAATCGCCACCAGGGCATTATCTCGCCCAAACCCACCAGGGTGGCGAGTCAAGACTCTAGACGCAGCGAGTCCTGGACAAGAACGCGGGGGCACCCCAAGCGTTGCGACGGCAGCGAGTGGTCCCAAAGAGCCGTCCCACTTCATCCACCAACCTGGCTGCCACCACAGATGAGAGGGCGAAGCTGGTGCTGCCGAGGATAGGCCCCAGATGGCCTCCAGACATTGTCCCTTCTCCCCACCGGCGGCCGTGTTTGCGTGCGGCACCCGCCTACGACCTCCCCGTCGAGTCGCCCACCGGCTTGGCCCCCATGGCCTCGAGCTTGGCAAGATGATCGACGAGGTCGTCGATGGGCGCCCTCTCCTGCTGCGCTTGTCGCTGTCCCTCTTGGTGGCCCGTGCCCGGCGTCGTCTGCGGTTCGATCTTGTTCCTGGTCGAATCCGGCACCATGATCCCGCCGCCCCCCTCGGCCCAGCCAGGTGCCATCCGCCGGAGCACCTCCCTCTTCTCCGCCTCCTTTTCCTCTTGCCTCATCCGCAGGTAGTCGTCGTACCTCTTTTGCAGCTCCTCGATCGTCGACGACGACGGCGTGTTGGCGTCCAGCACGTACGACTCGAGCGAAAACGGGTAGACAAAGTACGCCCGGATGTCGGGCGGCAGCGGATGCAGGTCGGCGGGAAGACGGATCGGCGGCGGCACAGACACCGACGGCGACTTGATCAGCGGTATCCGCGCCGCCGCCGCGTACAGCGGATTGCCGCCCGTACCGCCATGGCCGCCGTTGCGCCGCAAGCCAGCGCCACCGCCGACGTTGATGCTGGACGAGGGTGCCAGGCCAGAGAAGCCCGCAGTGCCCGCAGCGTGCGACATGCCTTGCCGGTATCGCCAAGTCGGGATGGTGAATTAGGCCCAGAAGAGGAAGAGAGGAAGGTGGTGAGCAGGGAATGAGGGGGAGGGCGGTTGATGGTTGAAAGGATGTCGTGTCGAGCCCCACAGGCAGCCGCTCTCGAACCACCCAGGAGGGGCGTGCACTGCCCCAGCCAGGCTAGAAAAGGGGAAAAAAAGAAAAAAAAGTTGTGCGACAACCACAGGATTCGAACCTGTGCGGGCAGAGCCCATGAGTTTACTCCCGAAAGACGGGATCGAACTACGCGGGGCGTATGGTTCTAGACTCACTCCTTGACCACTCGGACAGATTGTCCCGTCATGTCAAGGGCGCGAAAATAGCCGTACATACCCGATTGCTGCGGTGCTGCACCCCGACGCGCGCTCGAGTGATGGAAGGCGCAGGCGCGCCCGCGCGTAGACACCAGCAGCAGCAGCTGCTGGGCCTTGCTTGTCCTGGAAAAAAGGCTACGGCTCGTCAGGCGCAGGCAGGGCTTCCCCCTGGTCGAAGAAGCCTCTGCCCCTCCTCCACCACCTACCACCACCAGCACCGCCACCGCCACCGCCCCTTCTTTTCGCCACACCTTCTCCTTCTTCGCTTCGTAGCCAGACTCTTACGAGCGCAAGCCCGACCGCACCGCACCGCACCGCATCGCATCGCATCCAGGCTGCACTCGCGGCTCGAACGCAGGCGACGCCTTGCTTCGCACGCTCGCCGCCACCCCACCCTCATCGACGAACCTCCGCCTTTCCTACTCGACCCGCAACTCGCCCGCGACCCCGCATCGCCTCGCATTCACTCTGTCCGCAAGCGACGCCTCGTTCCTGCATTCGCACCTGCCCGCCTAGCTCCACGCCACTCTCACGACCCAAGGACGTACGCCCCGTACCAGATCCACTTCAGCATCAAGGGCTTCCGCATCTCGTTCCCAGCTCCCCCGCCGTCGTCCGCCGTGCAGCTCATCCAAAGGGCCGCCTAGCCTCGACTTCCCGGCTGTGGCGCGCTCCAGCTCGCAGCTCGCGTGCATCGCATCCCTCTTTGCGCCGCCGCTCGGCTCCCGACATCTACCGATCGTTTTCCACCTTGACCAGCGACTCTTAGCACTGCAAAGCACCGCATCGCACCTCCCGCGTCCTCGCTCGCCCCACCGCTCCCTCCTTCCCCGCCTCGCCCACTGCCCCCTGACCCCGCTCCAGCATGGCTCCGTCTGTCGACTCCAACGCCACCCTCGCCGTGCCTGGCATTGCTGCTGGGCCCCCGCCGGCCAAGAGCATTCGCAGGCAGCCGTCGGCCTCGCGCATCACGGTCTCGACCAAGCCCCAGCACCCGCAGCCTGCGGACGACGACGCCATCGTGGTCGGCTCGAGCACCGCGACCGCCTCGCCGCCTTCACCTGCCTCACCCACCGCCGCTGAGGTCTCGCCGAAGAAGCCGCGCCAGAGGAAGCTGGCACGGAGGCGGCGCGGGCCGGCGGCTGCGACCGAGAGCGAGTCCGGATCCGGATCTGAATCCGACACCGGTGGCAGCGATGCCGGGGCCGCAGCCTCGAGCTCCTCGCTCAGCCAGGCGTCCGGTTCCGACTCGGACGCGGACGATAGCGACGACGACACCGACGACGAGCAAGACGAGGAGGACATCGACGACGACGAAGGTGCTGGCGGCGCCGGCCTCCTTGACGGTGCTGCAGCCGGTCTCTCGAAAGATGAGCCCGAGGTGGAATCGGCCAAGGCGGCTGCTCTCGACTATAAGCAGTGGTCGACCCTCGCCGAAGAGGAGCTACCGACTGTGCTCGCGAGCGCGCAGCCAGGACCCGCGTCGTCAACCTCTTCGGATCATCTCGGAGACAGGCAGGCTGCCGGTGCGTCGAACGCCCGAGGCGGTCGAGGGGGCAGGGGCGGCCTCAGAGGTCGAGGTCGGGGCGCCGCTTACGGGGCCCACGTCGCCAGCGCCGTCGCCTACCGCGAAAAGCTGGAAAAGGATCCGTCGTTCACGCCTCGCGTCGGCCAGTTCTGGGGCCACGACGAGCGGCTCTTCGATCAGGACCTGCGCGGCCTCAGCGGATGGTGGCGCGGCCGAGGCGGTGCGGCGGCAGCCAACCCGGCTACACGCGGCCGAGGCAAGTTCCGCGGTGGCAGGGGCGGCGCCGCGTTCCCCGGTGCGGGCGGACATGCGCACGGTCATGAGCTCGCAGTCCGGGGCGGTGGCGGCACAGGCGCAAGAGGCAGGGGCAGGGGCGCGCCCCGCGGCGGAGCTGCTGCGAGCGTTACGGGTCCCAGGCATGGCATGACCGCGGCACATCCTGGCCCAGCGTCGCCACCGCCGAGAAAGTCGAAGCTCGCAGGCTGGGACGACGACGAGTCCGAAGTCGACGACGATGCGCTGCACGGAAAGAGCGTCAGGAGGGTCCCGGCGGCGGCGCAGCCCATCTACGCGCACATGGGCCCGCGCCATCCGGCAGCAGCGGCAGCCCAGGCGGCCGTCGACGCCAAGCACGACTTTGACGGCGTTCCCACGGGACCTCGCGCAGACCTCGAGGTGGCGGACGCGATCCCGCACAGGGAATGGGACGCCGACAACCTCGCCAGCGACGGCAAGATCGGTGCCTGGAAGGCGTCGCTGGACGAGACACAGATGTCGCCCTCGGAAGCGCCGCAGAAGCCGGACTCGGCCGTCGAGCTCTCCTCGTCCACGAGCAACGGGGCCGATGGCATCTCCGCTTCGGAAAGAGACAATCAGCTGAGCGCGGGCAAGCCGGTCAGCACCGCAGCAGGTCCCGAACACCTGGAGACGCCCAAGCCAGCGGCGTCGGTTCCGCCTCAGCTCCCTTCTTCGGGCTTCGGCAGGAACCCTGGCGCCGCGGGCGTGGGTCAATGGACGCACGACGGCTTCGAGGCGCTCCAGCAGGCAGAGGCCCGCCCCGTTGGCCTTTCAGCCCGTGGTACCGCTGCAGCCGGCGCCGGCGCCGTTCGCGGGGGCAGCATGCGCGGCGCGGGCATATCGCGCGGGTTCGGTCGCGGCCGTGGCGGTGTCGCGGCTCACGGGTTCCGAGGACGGGGTGGCTTTGCGCAGCCCGCCTTCGTCTACGGACGAGGCGCCCATGGCTTCGTCAGGGGTGGTGCCAGAGGCGGCGCGGGCTTTGTCGGCGCGGGCATGACTCGATCGACGCCAAACTCCGGAGCTGGACCTCATCCGGGCGAAGCGCCAACGAATGTCGGATCCAACAGAGCGGACGCCGCGCAAAACGAGCGGGACAGCGAAAGGCTGACCGCGCTGGTCAAAGGCCTCGCCATGACCGAGCACAAGAACCCGGCGCATCGCGAGCCGACCGCGCAAGCACCTGTTCCGGTCAAGGTCAACCTGCCGCGCACGCGCAGTCAGGAGGGGGAGCCGCCTACGCAGGACGCTGCACAGGCCACTGCCTCGCCCTCTCAGCAAGCAGGCGGCACGGTGGATGAGACGCTCCACAGAACCACGGCATCGATCACGACCGCCTCTGCTGCGGTGCCCGCTTTTCGGCCTGGATCGGCCCTCCAGGCCAACGCCTCGGGCGCCCGAGCCGGCAAGGTCGGCAGCGTCAGCACCCTCCCCGTCAATGCGGCCAAGGCACCTGCCTTCCGTCCCGGCAGTGCTGCGAGCGGCCGTGTTTCGACGCCTGCCGATGACCGCATCGTGCCTTCGCCCGAGCTTTATCTCCATGGCGACAGCTACCGCGGCGGCGCCGAGTACACGCCACCGCTGTCTGCCGACATGGGCGGCTACGGCCTCGCACCGGCCGGCTACGAGAGCGGCGGCGCCGTCTACTACAACGACCACCACGGCCACGGTGGTGCCGGCGGCTTCCGTTACGGCGGACCACCGCCGCCGCCGTTGCCCTCGGGCTACCCGATGGACCAGCCCATGTACTCGCCGAGGTACGGCGCTGTGTCCGGCGGCGAGATGGACGGGTACGGCTATCCGTCCGAGAGCGCCCATCTCGGTCATCACGGTGGCGTCCGAGGCACGGGCGCACACTCACCCGCTGGTGGCTACTACCAGCCGGTGATGATGCATCCGACGGGCTCGGGCGACGGTGTCGGCACGCCGACGTACGACTACGTGGCGACGCCGCCCTTCATGACCTACGCGCTGCCGCCGGCGGACCACTACCCCGGCTACTATACCCCCCCGCCTCCGCCGCATGGCCCTCACGTCGCCAGCACGCTTCCACCTCCGCCGCCGGACGCAGCGTACGCCTTCCAGCCCGCGCAGGCCTTCTATCACCACGAGCCGCACCTGGCCCCGCACCAGGGTGTCGAACCCGGCTTGGCTTCCTACGCCATGCAGAGCTCCGGCTCCGGCTCTGGCGAGTTTGATCCGTACGCACACCAGCCGACCCACGTCGGGGCCCAGTGAAGCGTCTCAGCCGAGCGCCAGCATCAAGCGCCCACAACAATGATTTCCGCGGTCGGTGTCGCGCTTCGTTCTCCTTGCGCCAGTCTGCGTGCACACCGTTCCGGTGTCCCCAGACTTCCACGCATGCGTCGGCGCGGCACAGGCGAGCGACGGGCCGGCCGCGGCGGCCACGCCTCCGGTCGGCGGCGCGTGGATGTTGGTGCTTGCACATTGTTCAGACCCCGCTGACGGCCCTTTGGTCGGCCACGGAGCAGGAAATCTTCCGCTTCCGACCGAGGGCCTCGATGTCGATGTGGCCTTGTCGGGCCTCTTCCCGTTGGCTGCTTGCCATGTGGTTCATCGCTCGCTCTGTCGCTGCTGCGGTACCGGCCTGGAATCATCTCCCGTTTTGCGGTCCGGTGAGCGGTCGTTTCACGCCGGCTGCTACGTACCAAGACGGCGTTTGCTCGCGTCGATCCACGGCTTTCCCTCGCCTTGCTGCCCTCGTTGTACCATAGCCTGTACCGGCCCGGGGAGCTTCCCTACCCCTGCCCTTGCCGCCAATGCGCACGTACCGCTGCGCACACGCGCATGCCATCTGCATTCATCATCGCGGTCGTCGTTGATGTTGACGTTGATGTAGAGAGCCCAGTTGTGAAGGGATGGACGACGGACGATGAGCAAGGTACTCTAGCGTGGACACCAGATCGACGTACGGATCCGGCTCGCCGAGATGGCCATGGCCGAGGCGGAGTTTTTTTTCCCAGAGCGCGGCCAGGCAGCATAGGTTCCTCCTGCCTGCCCGTGGTGGCCTGCCTGCTCTCGCACAGACCCAGTGCATCGCTGCTGCAGGTCGGCGACGGCACCAGCCGTGAGCCGGCGAGCTTTGTTTTTCAGGTCTTCTTCCAGAACGGACGGACGGACGTGCGTGCGTGGCACCGCGGCCAAGCGCCAAGCAAGCTGGCAGGCAGGCAAGAGGCAGGGGCGTTGCTCCACGTCACGGACCACGAGGCAGGCTACCGGTGCGAGGCGCCAGGCCAAGCCTGCTAGCATTATAGGCAGGAGCTCGAGTGCACCTGCCGGACCCTGTCCCTGTCTCTGACCTCGACGGCCCTTCCTTGGCTGGCTCCCGCACACCTTCTTCGCTCCCTCGCTCCGGCGCATCGTCGAAGCAGGGCCACGTTCGACTACTTCGGCCACCACCTCCTCCTCCTTGATATAAAGCGCCGCTGCCCTGGGCCGACACCGCCGCTTCAGACCGACTCCGTTGCCCCTGCTCCCTCGTGCCCGACCTCACGGCTCCCATAGACACAACACCTGCCTCTCCGCTGCAATCACTAACCGCTCTCCCGCCGACCCCCGCCCACCGACCACCATGACGACGACCATCCTCAACGAGTTCCAGGAAAAGGCCCATCCTCGGATCCTGTGCCTCTTTGATGTCGACGGCACCCTGACTCCCGCCAGGCAGGATGTCTCGCCCCTCATGCTGAGGACGCTGGCCCGGCTTCGCAACCACTGCGTCACTGGTGTCGTCGGCGGCAGCGACATTCTCAAGATCCGCGACCAGTTCAAGACGGCCGGACAGGACCGTGAGTGCATGCCCGATCGCCCGCAGCAGCCCGTCCCACCCCTCGGAGCTCGTTCGCTGACCGCCGGAGCTCCCGTCGTATGTCGCCGTACACCACCTTCGCCACCTCGCTGCTCGCGCCAGTCGTCGAGCTGTTCGACTACGTCTTTGCCGAAAATGGACTGACCGCCTTCAAGCTCGGCCAGCCCCTCGCGAGCCAATCGTTTATCGGGTGGCTCGGCGAGGAGCGATACCAGAAGCTCGTCAAGTTCTGCCTCAAGTACATTTCCAACCTCGACATCCCCGTCATGCGTGGCACGTTCATCGAGTTCCGCAACGGCATGATCAACATCAGCCCCATTGGCAGGAACGCTTCGTGAGTGTGCCCCGGCTGCCTTGCCAGCTGCCACACTTTGGAACTGCCTCTTGCTGACCCGTCGAGCCCTTGCCACGCCCGTTCGCCTCGCCCAGCATCGCCGAGCGAAACACGTTTGAGGAGTACGACCGCGAGCACCAGATCCGTGCCAAGTTTGTCGAGACGCTGCGCAGCGAGTTCAGCGACTACGGCCTGACGTTCAGCATCGGCGGCCAGATCAGCTTCGACGCCTTCCCGCACGGCTGGGACAAGACGTTTGCGCTGCGACACGTTGTACGCGACGGCAAGACCGAGGCTGGAAGCACCACGGCCGCCGACCTGGGCTGGGACGAGATCCATTTCTTTGGCGACAAGACGTACAAGGTGAGTCGGCGGGAGCAACCTCGAGCTCGTCGAAGAGTAGGCCATGAAATGAGCGCTGACATGTATCGCGTCTTTGGGGGGTCCATCTCGACACCAGGGCGGCAACGACCACGAAATCTTCTCGGATGTGCGCACCGTCGGCCACACCGTCACCAGCCCAGAGGACACGATCCGCCAGCTGGCCGAGCTGTTTGGCGTCCGCGCCGACTAGGCATGAACCTCTCTTCTGCTCCTCGAGCCCACACGGGCAAAGCCCTCCTCGCCGCTGTTGTACGAGTATACCATGGACATGCTGTCGATATAGAGACCCTGGCCCCTTGCTTGGCACACCGATAGCGACAGGCGGAGATCGCGATGCCGGCTAGCCCGAGGCACGCCCGGACGGCATGCGGCAGGATGAGGATGACGCCAGGTCGGAATTCGGAGGTCGGGGGAGGAGTAGCTGGCTGTGGGGCAAGCGGTGGCCGGGCGGCCTGGAGGCAGCCAGGCGCGGGCGCGGGGCCGGAGGAAAAAGCGGCCGAGGGAGCGAGTGGGGCGGTGATCGGCCGGAGGTGCCTGACCGCCGAAGCAGCAGCCTACGGAGCTGCAGCGCCCCTCTTGGCCTGACCACGCTCGCCGCTGACCATCACCACCACCACCACCACCACCACCACCACCACCACCATCACCACCACCACCACCACCGTTACCGCCGCCTCCTCCGCCGCCATTCACCGCCCTCTCCACCAAAACTCTCGCTGCAGCCCTACACTTTCTCTGCTATCCCCTGCAGCATCGTTCAATCCGTCCTGCATCGCCTCACCGCTCCTCTTCCTGCCTTGATCCTCTAGACAGTCGCCCATCCCCATTGTTCTGGAACCGACGCTGCACGAATACCACCTCGTTCCGCTGCACTGCTTCCGGAGCTCGAGCTCGAGTTGAAGCTCCGTCCGTCACTCCGCCATAGCCATCGACTTCAGGCTTCGACGCTCCTCGGAAGCTCGACGGTTTGGCAAACCACGCCTTGCGCTTCCTCCTCGAAAACCGGCATATTCGGCGAGACGAACGGTCGCCCTTCACCTGGCTCAGTCTGACTCGCCGATTCCTTGTCACCGTGCCGCGCCGATCTTTGATGTTTCACATCGCGTTCTTGTAACATACGCCCACCTCCACCCCGTCGGACAGCTCCCGGCACGCCTTTCCACCACCCACGCACGTCAACGAGGGTCGACGAGCCCGATCTTAGAGGAGCACCGGTACCGGCGCAGACAGCCGTGCTCACGTCGCCCTACACAAGCGCCAGCCTCGCCTCCTCCGTCCATCATCGCTTGACCAATCGAAGTGGTCTCGATCGGTCACCACTGCAGACGGTGCCGACTCGTTCGCCTTCCACACTGCCAGCAGCGCTCCGAGCGCACACTCTGCCCTCCGCTGCGCTCCCGACGTGCACATGTCGATGCGACCAGGGACGTCCGGCAGCATGGGCGGCAGCGGCGACTCGCACAACGGCTCTGGAGCCGCGCCGCCGGGGATGGGCGGATCTTTGGCCGGCGTCGACCTAGGCCCTTCGATGCTCTCAGCCGCGGGCCCCGCTCCCAACTCGGGACCCTCGTACCCTGCCGGCACTGGCCCAGGAGGCACGCCCACCACCGCGCTCAGCGTCTACCACCTCATCACGCAGCTCTGCCAGCGACCCGACCCGGCCGCGCTCGCCGCAACCTCCAGCAAGAAGTCAGCCGGCGGTGGGCCTGGCCCCTCGTCGCCCTCGCCTCCGCCCGCTTCGACGAGCGGCAGCGGCGCAACGTCCGGCGAAGGTGCGCTTGCCGCCCTTACGGCCGCCGACAGCCTGCCCGGCAGCTCGGCGCAGCGCGAGAATGCGCTGCTGGAGCTGAGCAAGAAGCGCGAGCAGTACGAGGACCTGGCGCTGGTGCTGTGGCACAGCTTCGGCGTCATGTCGTCGCTGCTGCAGGAGATTGTGTCCGTCTACCCGCTCCTGTCGCCGCCGGCGCTGACTGCGCAGGCCAGCAACCGGGTGTGCAATGCGCTGGCGCTGCTGCAGTGCGTGGCGAGCCACAGCGAGACGCGGGGCCTCTTTCTGCAGGCGCACATCCCGCTCTTCCTCTACCCCTTCCTCAACACGACGTCCAAGACGCGGCCGTTTGAGTACCTGCGTCTGACGTCGCTCGGCGTCATCGGTGCGCTGGTCAAGCAGAACGACAACTCGGACGTCATCACGTTCCTCTTGTCGACCGAGATTATCCCGCTCTGCCTGCGGATCATGGAGACGGGCTCGGAGCTCAGCAAGACGGTGGCCATCTTTATTGTGCAAAAGATCCTGCTCGACGACATGGGGCTGTCGTACATCTGCCAGACGTACGAGCGCTTCTACGCCGTGGGCACGGTGCTGAGCAACATGGTGGCGCAGATTGTCGAGAGCCAGGCGGTGCGGCTGCTCAAGCACGTGGTGCGCTGCTACCTCCGCCTCAGCGACAACCCGCGTGCGCGCGAGGCCCTCCGGGCGTGCCTGCCCGGCCCGCTGCGCGATGCCACGTTTTCGCAGCTGCTCAAAAACGACCACATCACGAAGCGATGCCTGGCCACGCTGCTCCTCAACCTTTCGGACCGCGTCGAGCAGTAGGCGAGGCCCAAGTGTTGGAGGCGCCACAGAGCGATGGATAGGCGCTGGCTGGGTCGAAGCGACGGATCGGAGGCGTCGGCGGCGGACAGCAAGAAGTGCGAGCGAAGGAGGAAGCAAGGTGGCGGAGCAAGGATGGAGCGGCGACGACGACCGGCATGGTGCCGATGTGCTGGCGAGTACCTGTAACACTACCCCCCAATCGATCTGGTCCGACTCTGCCGGACCCATATATTGTTATCTCCGGCCAGCCGGGCAGGCCAGCGCGATGGCCACGATTGGGCCGACGACGCCTCCGTCTGACTGCTCGTAGGCATCTAGAACGCTCTTCTTGTTTCTAGCCGGGTCGGTAAAAGTACAGGTGGGTGCTCCTTGACAAAGGTCGGGTCCAAGCGGACGATGTTCAATAGATCTGAGCCGAGACAGAAGTGGGAACAAAAGGAGGGAACGGGTCGTCTTCGGGGGTCAGTCGGGAGTACGAGCTGCGTGGCCGCGGCGGCGCACTGGGCCGTGGTGGGCTCTCACCTCGTCAAAGGGCCTGGTGTCCTTGAAGCAGCTGTCAAAGACGAGGTCGACCTCCCTCTTTGCCCTCTCGAGGTCGCCCTGGCAGGATGGGTTGGCGGCGACGCTGAGAGCGGCTCTGCGCTTGATGCACTTCTGGAACTGTCCCTTGAGGCCGTACTCTCTCCTGCCCCACTCGCGGAGGAGGTCGCAGTCGCCGCTGAGGGTGGCAGCGCGGATCTCGCTGCAGGCGTGGTGGGCGAGGTTGTCCCAGCGCACCTTGAAGCGGCAGTGGTCGAACCAGTGTATCATTTCGTGGGATATGGTGTTCTCGACGTGCTCCTTGGAGTAGAGCCGGTTGCTGCACAGGAGGATCGAGGAAAAGGACGTGGGCTCGCCCGGGAGCGAAGGCGAGAAGCCGCCGGCGACGGCCTTTGGGCACGTGGCGATCAGGATGGGGGGTGGTGGCGTAGGTGCTGATGGTGATGGCGACGCCGTTTGCGTCCCTGCTGCTGCAAGTATCGGCGTGGGAGATGATGACGGCGATGAGGTTGCAGAGGGAGGGACGTAGGTGGACGGGGGCGCGGCGCGCGGGTCGCACGAGAGGAGGGCGAGGTGCTTTGACATGAAGCGGATCATGGGCGAGGTGCGGAAGAGCTCGTTGGTCCACTGCTCGACGCGCTCGCGGGCCACTGTCTCGTCGCGCGTCTCTTCCGAAGGTGGTGTGGGCAGCATACCTGGCGTCTGAGGAGGGATGGGTGGTTGAGGGCAGGGGAGTGATGGTGAGGGGGTGGTGAATGGAGGCAGCCTCTGCCCTCTTTTCTTGGGTGGTGCCAGCCCCGGGCCAGGTTGACTAGCTCGCCCCAGCCCCGAGCACCTTTGCCCCCGCTGCACTCCCGACTCCCGTATGGTGGCCATCCCCGGAAGACCGCGACGGCCTCAGCCAGCCCGCCCTCCCTCCACCTGCCACTGGGCCTCCGAGCAGCACAAAGACCAACACTACTCAGCCACCCGAGCCTGCAGAACCCTGAGCTGCCCCCTTCTTCCCTCTCTCCAACCTGCGCCGCCGCCTTCATTCCCACCACTCCATCCTCTTTCCCACCACTCCATCCTCACTCTCACCCTCTCCACCGCCACGCCGTTGCCCTTCCGCCGCGCACCGCCGCGCACTTAACAGCCCTGCTAAAGATCCTTGCCCCCGGCCCTCTCCACACACCACGCACGACAACCCGCACAGCTCCACCGGGCGCGCGCCCTCCCTGCCCTCTCCCGTGTCATCGCGCCCGCCATGCCGCCAGCCAGGAGGGCCACCAGGCGCACAGCCCACGGCACACAGTCGCAACAGCCTGACACCACCTTGGCCGCAGAGGACCCCGATCACGCCGGCTCGCAACACGACGCCGCAGCCCAAGACAAAGCAACGACCTCCCAGCAAACGCACGCTCGCCCCAGTCGCAGCCCGGCAGACTCTGGCGACGCACAAGACGACGGCATGCCTGCGACGCCGGAGGCAGCAGCAGATGACGGCGTTGATGGCGCTGGCGCAGGCGGTGGCGCGGACCCCGACAACGACGCCCAGCTGCCCAGCTCCACCTTTTCGGCCCGCAACGAGCGCGACCACGTCAAAATCATGCTCGCCACCGACAACCACGTCGGCTACATGGAGCGCGATCCCGTCCGTGGCCAGGACTCGATCCGCACCTTTGAAGAGATCCTGCAGCTCGCCGTTGAGCACCAGGTCGACCTCATCCTCCTCGGCGGCGACCTCTTCCACGAAAACAAGCCGTCCAGAGCCACGCTGCACCAGGTCATGGCACTCTTGCGCCAGTACACGCTCGGCGATCGCCCCATCCAGGTCGAGCTGCTAAGCGATCCAAACGACGGCGCGCTTCCCGGCTTTGACTTTCCTGCGGTCAACTACGAGGACCAGAACCTCAACGTCAGCATCCCCGTCTTTTCCATCCACGGCAACCACGACGACCCTCAGGGCACGGGAGAGACGGGCGCCCTCTCCGCCCTCGACCTCCTCTCGGTCTCGGGCTTGATCAACTACTTTGGCAAGGTCGAGCTGCCCTCGGACGACGCTACCGCCGCCGCACCCTCATCGCGCGCAGCCAAGGGTAGCTTCCAGGAAAAGGGCATCCGCATCAAGCCTGTGCTGCTGCAAAAGGGCAACACCAAGCTCGCCCTCTACGGCATGGGCAACATCAAGGACGAACGCATGCACTTTGAGCTCCGCGCCAACCGAGTTCGCATGTTCCGTCCGCAGGAGGATCCGGATTCGTGGTTCAACATCCTTTGCGTGCACCAGAACCGGTAAGTTGCCTTCTCTAGGTCGTGCCTGGCGACCACAACAGTTTGCTTGTCTGCTGACGCTCGCCGGTCCCATGCCTCTTGACGTCTCCACGACCGCTGCGATCACCCACAGAGTCGCTCACAATCCCAAGGCGTGCGTTCCCGAAACCATGTTTGACGACTCGGTCCACCTCGTCGTTTGGGGCCACGAGCACGAGCAGCTCATCCTGCCGCAGTCGGTGGCAGAGAAGCGCTATCACATCACCCAGCCGGGCAGCAGCATCGCCACCAGCCTGATGCCTGGCGAAGCGGTGGAGAAGTGTGTCGCCATCATCCATGTCGAGAACACCGACTTCCTCATTGAACCGATCCCCCTCAAGACGGTGCGGCCCTTTGTCATGGACGACCTGCGCCTCGACGAGGAGCTCGAGGAGCATGGTCTAGAGCCCAAGCGCGGCGACATCATGAAGCTGTTGCGCATGCGGGTCAACGAGCTCATAGACAAGGCGAGGCAAGAGTTCACCGAGAGGTTCCCGGACCGCGAGATGCCGCTGCCGCTGATCAGGCTGCGCGTCGAGTACGTGGCCAACCAGGAGATCAGCAATCCTCAGCGCTTCGGCCAGGAGTTCAACGGCAAGGTGGCCAACCCCAAGGACGTGCTGCAATTCACCAAGCGGAGGGCAGGTACCAGCGCAAAGGGTGAGTCGGAACGTGACAAGTCTCGAAGAGGGAACGCAGAGGCCCTATCGCTCAAGGACGGCTGATCTGACTGCCCTATGCGCTCTGCTCGTACCTCTTCTCTCCACGCCCCGCACTGCAGACAATGACGCGTCCAATGCCTATGTCGACGTGACCGGGCTCGATCTGCTGCCTGCCGAGAAATTGGAGCGGGTCGACGTCGGCAAGCTGGTGCAGGAGTACCTGCAGGCGCAGAATCTCGACATCCTCAACCCAGAGGGCCTCGAGGGCGCGGTGGTCAACTTTGTGGAGAAGGACGACAAGGACGCCATCGACAGCTTCGTCAAAAAGATGCTGCGCAATACGGTCAAGGGCCTGGTGACGATTGATCCGGAAGAGGCGCAGCTGCAAAACGAGCTCGAGCGGCTGAGGCAAGAGCAGCAACGGGGTCCCAGGGCAGGCGGCGGCTCAGTCGAGGACGATGACGACGAAGATGGGCACGCTGGTCCTGCCAGGTCGGCGGCGGCCTCGAGCAGGCGCAAGCAGGCACCCGCTGCGTCGACGAGTCGCCGAGGTGGGAAGGCGGCCGCGCGCGACTCGGACGAGTCGATGATGGACGACCTTGATGCCGACGAAGATGTCTTTGACGACGACGATGATGAGGACGAGGACGATGGCCGTGCGGGCGCCAAAGGTCGAGGAGGCTCTCGCGCATCGCCCAAGAAAGCCAGCCGTGGCAAGTCTGCCACTACGGCAGGCGGGCGGGCTGCCGCCTCTACGCCGCCGAAGACGCGCGCGGCACCGACACGAAGGGCGGCTGCCAAGGCGGCAGAGAAGACGTTCCTGGGTCCGAGCGACGACGAAGACGACGAGGCGGAGTTCGTCGACCGTGCCGCCCCGGAGGATGTCATCATGATTGACGACGACGACGACGAGCCGGAGCCGACGCCAGCTCCCGGGGCTAGCCGGCACGCCGCAGCGCTGGGCCTCTCAACGTCTCGCACCACGACGGGGGCTCGAGGGAAAAAGGCGACTGCCAGTACGCCGGCCACGGCCAAGACTCGAGCGGCGCCCGCAAAGAAGGCGGCCGCAACAGGCTTGCGACAGTCGCAGTTGTCTTTCGGCAGTCGTCCGGCGACGGCGACGAGGGGCCGCCACGAGGAGGTCGACGACGGCGACGAAGACGAGTTTGAAGAGCCGACGAGCACCAGGTCGAGGGCTGCCGCATCGGCCAGTACCCGGAAGACGGCGACGAGGCGTTGAAGAGCGTTCGGCGAGAGTCACCATTTAGGCACCTTGTCACCATTCCGACAGAGCAAGCGGGCACGATACCATGTAGCGCGACCAAGCCTGCGCCAGCCATCTGATCCGCTCGCACTCAATCCGACTGATGAGCCAACGACTGTGCGTGTGCCTTTTCCCGAGTTCCGCCGAAGTCGGGACGGGCGCACGAAGTGGAGTGGAGCAAGCGGCAGGAGGGATGCACGGTGGCCGCCGGTCTGGTTGCCACGCCCAACGATTTTTCTTGATTTCCAAAGCGGCCGAGCTGGTCATCTGCCATGGCGCGCTGCCACCACCACCGTGCCTCGACCCTGCCACCCAGCCTTCCAAGCCACCTCCATCTCACCACTGCTCACCACCGCTCTAGCCACCGCCAAGGAACAACCCGCACTCACATCACGCGATGTGGCCCTTTGCCTCTTCCTCCGCCTCGTCGTCGACGCAGCAGCTCGAGGCCAACACCGACAAGTGTCCCGTCGACCACGAGACGAGGCTGGCCTGGCTCGCAGCCAACCCGGGCGCCTCGCACCCTTTTGCTGCCGGCGCCTCTTCTACATCCCAGCCTTCCTCGTCCTCGGCATCACCTGCTGCCGCTGCCGCGTCGACTTCCGCATCAGCCTCGGCGACCCGTCCCACTTCCCGCGCCGACGTCGAGGACCTCTCTCGCCTCTCTGCAGAACGCGAGGTCTCCTCGATACCCCGTCATTTCGCCTCGCCCTCGCCTACGCCATCCACCACCAATCTGGCTCCGACCACCGACAATGGCGGAGAGACTGCAGCAACTGCGGCGAGCCGGGAGGGAAGCGACGAGCCCAACTGGGTCTACCCGTCGCCGTTGCAGTTCTACAACGCCATGAAGCGCAAGTCGCAGAACCCGCAGGTCGAGGATATGGACATCGTCGTGCCCATCCACAACGCCGTCAATGAAGAGGCGTGGCGCCGCATCATGGTCTGGGAAGCGTTACGGTCCGGCTCCTCGCCCGATGCAGCCGCTGCCCGGAGCACGGCCAACGGCACAGGGCCCAACGACGTCAAGCTGCTCAACTTCCAGGGCCGACCCCGCGACCTCACCTGGCGGGCGTGGTTCCGCACCTTGGCAGGCTACGCCCCGCCATTCGACCGGCACGATTGGACCATCGTTCGTGGCGGCAACGACGAGGAGCGCATGCGGTACATCATCGACTTTTACGGCGGTCGGAGCATCCCGAGCCCCGGGCCTTCTGGCGATGCGGCAAACGGATTGGTCAAGGCCGGCGGAGGAGGAGGAGTGGGAGGGCAGGGCGTGTCTTTCTTCCTCGACGTAAGACCTGCCCCAGACTCGGTCGAGGGCATCACGATGAGGGCAAAGAGGATGTGGCGGAAGTGGGCTCTGGGCACCGATGACCTCGGCGTCGGACCGCAGAGGAGACCGACCACCCTTCGCTGATTTCCTGTGTGCCGCGGTCGACGAAAGATGTAATCACGACCTCCACCGCTCAGTCTGTCGTCCGTCTCGAGCCGCTCTTGGCGCGTTGCGGCCACGTCCGCGCGATCTCGCATCACGGTGGGCCTATCATCTCACCCAAGAGTGCAAATTGAATGCGTGAGGAATGGCCGACGGACGAAAAGGGACATGTGTGGGCATGCTGCGAGCTCGATCGTAGGCCGGTCGGCCCTCTCCTGTGTCTTCAGAGCTCGACGCGCGTCTCTCTCTCCTCCCTCTCTGCCTCCTCCTTCTCCGCCCTGGCCACCGCCCCGACAACCTCTTGGGCATTCTCGGGTGCTCTACCGCCCATGCCCAGGGGCAGCGACTCCTTTTCGGCCTCGAGGACGTCGCTCTCGCTCATCTTGACCCACTCGTCGCCGTCCTCGCTGCCCTCGCCTCCGGGCCCGACCCCGCCGCGGCCTCCTTTGGTCGACGATGACGATGACGAGGGCGAGGCAGAGGTGGATGGTAGCGGAATGGTGCCGGAGCGAGCCTTGGGCGTTTCGGAGCCGTCTTTCGACTTGGCCTCGTCTATCGGTGTCGCTGTCGTCGCTGCGTCTTGCTGGATCCGTGGCACGACGTACTTTAGCAGGAAGTCGGAGATCGTCTCAAAGTACTTTGGCTGTAGTGTTCAAGCGGCAGGACAATCATGCGTGGCTGGGTCAGTGACGCACGGTCTAGGTGGCCAAAAAGGCGGCAGTGGAACTCACCTTGACGCAGGTGTCGTCTGAGAGGTTGACGAAGATGGGGTAGGCGGGGCAGAGTCAGCATACGGCCCTGAGTTTCGCCCAGGCGGCTGGGTTTGATGTCGCTCTTGATGTGTGGGACTGCTTACTATGCGTGCCATCTTCAAACGCTTTCCAGACCTTGTTGGTGCTGCGGCACTTTTCGTAGAGCGCGTCCATGTGGGATGGTGGGACCAGTTCGTCCTTTCGACCGCTGAGGAAAAGGACGGGCACATTGGGCGCAACCTTTGTGATGGCCAGGTCCGACGACCAGAACTCGCCTGCGATGTCGGCGGTGATCGAGGACGGTCACCGCAGCTAAACGGTCAGTCGGGCTCGTAGCATGGACAGCGATGGCCTCTGCACGCTCCAGGTACCCACGACAGAGAAAGGCAAACGGCCGCACCGGTGGCAGCACGTGCGGAATGAGCTCCGGGATGCTCAGAAAGCTGCAGAAAGAGGCGTTGGGAGACGGCGGAGGGCGTTCAGCGTAAGCTGAGAATAGGCTGATGCGAGGCAGACTGGATAAGCAGCACGAGGCCTCACGTGTTTTCGAGCATGAGTGCGTGGACCTGGAGGAGCAGAGGGGGGAGAGGCGTCGGGGAGACGAGGAGGAGTGCGCGGGGTCAGTCGGGGTGGCAAGACAGAGGAAGGGGCAAGTCTGGGTGCGCAGCACAGCACGCACGCTCTTTGGGTTGCGGCTGGCGAGGTCGACGGCGATTGCGCCTCCGATGCTCTGACCATAGGCGACGACGGGCGTCTTGCTGAGCTGTGGGTGTTTGCGGATCCAGTCGAGCGAGGTTTGTGCGTCGATGCGGATGCCGTTCTCGTTTGGAGAGCCGGAAGAGTAGCCGTAACCGCGGTAGGAGAGCATGACGATGTTGCAGCCGAAGCGCTTGTACAGGACGGCAGCGAGGGGCAGGCGGTGTCCCATGTTTCCGGCGTTTGCATGGAGGAAGAGGATGGTGGGGCGGCGTGCGGCGAGGTGGGGATCGACGACGTCGGTGTGGACGATTGCGGTATGGGTGGGCGATGACTTGCGTTCGGGTTCTAGGTCTTGTTGGCTCCTGATCTGGCGTATCTTGTCGCGTGCGAGTCGGTAGCCCTGGAGCATGGCGAAGGCGCGGAGGCGCTCGCCGTCTGGGGTGGTGAGCTGGTGCTCGGTAAAGGGGATGTCAAACTCGTCTGGGGTGGCGACCTCTGTGCGCGAGCCCGGTGGGAAGGATGCGGCGTAGATGAGGGATGTCTGGTAGCGGTAGAGGAGGCCCGCGGTCGAGGCGAGCGAGACGAGGAGGATGCCGCCGAGGGCCTTTGCGAGGCCGTAGAAGGAAGGGAGGTAGCCCATTGCGCGGTCGTGTGTGGGGTTGGCGGATGAACCAAGGGTCGTGAGGTAGCTTTGCCGTTCCTCAGGCACGAGGGGCGGGAGGTTGTTCGGAAGGCCGCCGAGGTCGGCTTGGTCGGTGGCGGTGGTGGTGGTCGAGAGGAGTCGTGACTGTATGCCCTCTGGTTGGCCCCTGGTTGGCCTCTGGTTGGCTCTCTGAACCTGGGGCCGACCCTGACCCTGGTCCTGGCCCTGACCCTGAGGCTGGCCTGGCCTGAGCGTGGCAGGCTGTGGGCGTCGTGTTGGGTCGGCCCGTCGGCCTACCGGCTCCGATGCGGGCCCGACGCTGCTAACTATCCCTCCACATTACCGGTTGCAGCGGGCGATCAACGCAACATCGGCATTCTTAATTATTGCCCCACCGACACCCCCTTTCCTCTCTTTGCCTCCATCTTTGCCTCTGGCCAACCGCGCAGCCTTTCCCCCTCCCCACTCTCCCCCCCCGCTCCATACCTCTTTCCTTTCTGCCATGTCTGCCGCCACCACCACCAACGCCGTCGACAGGCCCGTCGTTCTCCTCACTGGCTGCTCGCGCGGCCTCGGCCTCTCAGTCTTGCAACAGCTCCTCGACGGCACCACCCTCATCCCGCAAGCCAACGTCGTCGCAATCTCCCGCTCCCTCCCTCAGCCACTGTCCTCACTCCTCGAGTCCCACCCCGACTCAGTCATCCACGTGCAGGGATCCACCACTGACGACGCCGTCTCCCAGACCGCCGTCGACCGCGCAATCGCAAAGTGGGGCCGCATCGACGCACTCATCCTCAACGCAGGCATCGTCGACGTCGCAAGGATCCAGGACCTCTCGACCGCAGACTTTGCTCACCAGCTCAACGTAAACACCGTGTCTCTCATCGCCACCATCCGCGCAGCCCTCCCCCATCTCCGCAACGCAAATGGCGGCGGCCGTGTCGTCTTCGTCAGCAGCGGCGCAGCCGTCGGCAACACGTCGGGCTGGTCGGCCTACAAGTAAGTCGTCGCCCCGCCCTCACTGCCAGACTCGACAAGAGTAAGTCAGAAAGTCTGACTGCTGTGCTGTTCCTTCTCTCTATCCCGCCGCCCATCCACAGCGCCTCCAAGGCCGCCATGAACTCCATTTGCCGCACGATGGCCAACGAAGAAAAGCAAATCGCCTGCTTTGCCGTACGGCCCGGAGTCATCGATACCGAGGTGAGCGTCCCATCCCCGCAGCAGCAGACAGACTTCCCCTTTCCACCCTTCCGCGCCCTCATTTCCCTAACCCCCAGTTTTTCCATCGTGCCCGGCTCGACGTCATCGACAGATGCAAGTCCAGATCCGTGGCGCAGGCACCCACATGGTGCCCGCCGAGTACGAGCGCTTCGTCAACATGCACAAGGAGGGCAAGCTTCTCCCTCCCCACCTCCCCGCCCACTCGCTCGCCGCTCTCGCCGTCAAGGGCAGCCGCTCGCACCCAAAGGAAAAGGGCAGCGACAAGGGCATCGGCGAGCTCGGCGGCTTCGTCAACTGGGACGCAGAAGAGCTCGCAGGGTTTAAGCTCGACACTTGATGCTGCACCGCGCCGCGTCAGGAGCCGTCCGTCGCGCCCACACACAGAAGAAGAAGTAGTAAAGCGCAAGGCCGACAAGCGGCATCGTTGGTATAAGTCTCGGCGGCCAGAATGTATGTACAGGATCGCATGTCTCTTTCTAGAGCCGCATCTCGAACCGCACTCTGCTCCACCGTCTGGTTCGACTGCTGCTGCCTTGTCTAGGGCCCCAATGCCAAGCCCAAAGCGTCTCGCTGCGCAGCCCGGACCACCATGGCCTGCCACAGGTCCAGCTGCGCCGACCAAAAGATGCATGCATCTTGCTGCCCCCGGATGTCCTGCAGCTCGACCAGCCCAAGCTTCTTGATGGCGCCCCACTGCCGCCTCGCCTCGTCGCACCCCGCGTTGCGCACTTGAGCGTCGAGGAGCCCGTTGGCCTCCTCAAGTCGTCGGCAAGCTTGCTCCCTGCCCGACACCGACGCCAGCGCAGAGTCGAGGTCTTGCCGCAGTTGTTCGGCCTCTGTGCGCCCCGCGTCGTCGTCGTGATACCGCTCCTCCGCCGTCGCCGTCACCATCGCCGTCGCTACCGCTGCTGATTCGGCCAGTGCGAGCTGCGATGTTAGCTCAGCCAGTTGGGCTTCGAGCGCAGCGACTTGCCGAGCGTGCCTGTCTTCCACCTCCCGCATTCTCGCCGACGCTCCATCCACCTCGTGCACCGGCTGTCCCGTCTCCACCTCTGCCTCTCCCCCGATCGCCAGTGTTGCTGCCTGGTCACCTCGCAGAAGTGCATGCGACGCCGAGACTACGCTCTGGTCGAGACCGAGATCCTCTGCCGTTTCCGCCAGCTCCTCGACGAAGCTCTCGTCCATCAGCATCAGACTCGATCCCCGCTTCGAGAGTCCATTGTTTGAGTGCGAGGCCGAGACCAGCTCCATGCCCAGCAGCGACTCATGTTGGCTGTCCGACGTGCGCAGGCCCAGCATCGTCTCAAGACCGATGCTCTCCCGCAGCGCCTGACGAGAAGCGTCCCGCGCCGAATTCCGCTCCGGTAAGTTGCGGGTGTCGGTACCGGTATCGGCTTGCCTTGCTCGATTCAGCGATGGTGACGTCGAACCCAGTGCCAGCTCGTCTTGAAGCACGTCATCGGCGTCATTGCCTCGCTCAGGGCTGAGGGCATCGGACGAACGAAGAAGAGGCGACTCGCCGCCCAATGGCGACGAGCCGATGGCGCGAAAGTCGAGGCTCTGGTCGCCAATGTTTTCGAGCGTTGCGTCCTCCTCAGAAGCCTTGGCCGGACCATGGCGACCGTACCGCAGCCTTCCACTCCTACCGATCGCAGACAGCGACATCTGACTGAGGCTTGGCGTGTGGGCGCCGCGGAGCCTTCCTTGATCGACATCGGCGTCGGAGGAGCGAGCAGGGCTGTCGCGAGTATCGGGCATGGTCGACGCCGGACCGGGCTGCTCGCGCTGCAGCTTGTCGGCCGCCAGCATCGTCTCGACCTCGCGCATATTGAGGTTGGCTTTGCGCGCCACCGCTTGCAGGCTGGCCAGCAGGTCTGCATCAATTTCGGCGCTCGACAACGCGCGACCATTGGGCTTCCCGGACGATCGAGCAAGTTGCTGCTGCTGCTGCTTGGCCATTGCAAGAGCGTCAGTCGGCGGGCTGCTCCTCGTCGGGAAGGTGAGGCCGGACCGCGCGTGGCTCTTTGTCGGAGAAGTTGGTGGCGTGGCGGTGGCGGTGACGCCGGGTGCAGTGATGCGCGGCGGGAGACCCGACTTGACTGGGAGAGCCGTGAACGGTTTGACCGGCGCTGTTGCCTCCGCCCAACCGCTCTTGCCAGCGGATCTGGAAGCGCTGCCGAGGTCTAGCGGGTGGACCAAGACGCCGCTGAGACGCTTCTTGCCCTTGATCAGCGCCTGTGGGGTGTCGATGGGCTGGTAGGACGCTTTGTGGCGCATGGCCAGCACGGTCGGATGGGTGATGGGATGGGCCTTCAACACCGAATTCGCAATGCCGAGGTCCGCTTTGTCAATGGTGGAACTGCGCGAGGTGCCGCTGCCGTCCAAGGCTCTTGCTGGCGGTTCTCTCGTCATGTACGTCGCTGTCGGGGGATCTGCGTTGACTCCAGCGGTAGCGATAGACGTGGGCTGCTGCACGTCATGCTCCTTGGTCTGCACTGCTCCCAGGAGAGTGGTGGCGACAGGTAGACTGGATCTCTTGCCGCGCAGCGCAAGGGAGGATGGACCCTTGGCGATGGACCTCTGCGCCAACCCGAGGGGCGTCGGTGGTGGTCCGACGCCGGCCTTGGCACGGCCAGCGGAAGCCAGATTCTCCTTGTCGGTGCTCTGCGGAGCGCCCTGGATCCCGCTCGACTGCAGCACAGTCTGGTCAATCGAGGCCCGTCTGGAATGCGTGCTCGGAGGCTTCCCGAGGTCGACACTGCTTGGCCGCCTCTGCGATGGCACACGGCCCAGGCGGCTGGCCCCGGCAGTGGCTGCAAGGTTGCCCACCTGGGTCAAGGCGCCGGCGGATCGGCCGTCCCTTGCGTCTGGGCTTGCAGTGGCGGCTTGGTCCGGCGTCGGTCCTGGCGTCGGGAGCGCCGCGGCCGCTTTGCGAGGCGATCCCGACGACGGTGCGCCTCCGTAGGCGCTTTGCGCGCGTTTTCGTCCGAGGCCATCGGCGCCTGCGACGACTCCGGTGTCAGCTGCGTCGGCCGCCTTGGACGAGGTCTCTGCGCCGTTATTGTGCAGGACCAGCGTGGATCCGGTGCGGGAGCGTGACTTTGGGATGGTGGCAGATCTGGTATTGGCGCCGCCGCGCAGGCTGCTGTTGGAGCTGCTGGTGGTCAGACTGCCGGCAGTGGCGCGCGTGGATGTCTGCGCCTGCTGCCTGGTGGCGGCGGCATGGGCTGCGGCGGCGCCGTGCACGTCTCTGAGGCTGTTTGAGCGGGCGATCTTGGAGAGCTTGGTCGAGGGGGATGCGGCAGTTGTGGGGTTGGGCTTCGTCGATGATGCGCTGAATGTGCCGAAGCGAGCCGGCGGGGGGCCGGGCAGCTTTGAACGGAGAGAAGAGAGCTTGGTCCGAGTGCCGGTGCCGAACTGGGCGACGCTTGGGGCTTGGTTGGTGCTGTTGGCGCCGATGGTGGCCTGTTGGGCTGCTGTGGGGGTCGAGGACGAGGGGGTGGCTGTGCCGGCGTCGAGGTCAGTTGCATGGCCGGTCCTCTTTCCGAGGGTGGTGGCGGGCTGCAGCTGGGAGACGCTGGACGCCTTGTGACGGAGCGAGGCGGTCGAGGTGGGCAACTTTGATTGCTTGGAGAGCGGCTCGGGCGGCGATGCCGGGGTCGCTGCAACCATCTTGCTGGCAGGGGAGCCATGGCGATGTGCGGTCGAGTGGGCGGCGGTGGCAGGCTTGTGGGCCTTTGAGGCCGAGGTGAAAGCGGATCTGAAGGAGAACTTGGACGAGGCTGGGAGCGGGTCTTGTCTGGCCATTTTTGCGCGAGAGGGTGAGGGTGAGCTGAGCGGGGTTGCAGCGATGGTCTTGGTTCGAGTCGAGGTCGGAGTGGATGAAGGCGACGAGCCCATGCTGGCGGGCAGAGTTGGGTGATCTAGCCCCGGCTGGTGACGCGAGATGAAGCTGCAACTCCAAGACTGGTGGCGGACGAGTGGGCCGCAGGGAAGCCAACGGGGGTCCAAGCCAGGCAAGCTGCGCCGCGTGCCCAATCAGCGCCTCTTTGGCCGCCGGTCCCCAGAAGCGGGCGCAGCGGGACCAAGGTGCTCGGCGAGACGGCTGTCTCCGATGTATGGAATGCTGTGTGTGAATGGATTAGGGTGGTGTAGGGGGGAAAAGAGGTGGGCAGCCGCACGGAATAGTGACATAGTTATACTACTACGGATGGCGGCAGTTTGCAGATACAGATAGGCAGGCCTCTAGCCTACATGGACAGAGAGGCACGTACTCTTGCGGCCTGCCAGACCAACACCACCGCCGGCCGTCGACACCAACACCTGCACGCCTACGGCGGGGTTGGTCAGGCAGAGGGCTAGCCAGCTTTGGCCTGCTGTGGGCATCGCCGACCCGCCTGCCTGCCCAGCCCGCTTTATTTGTCGCTCGCTTCGACTTTTCCCCGCCTCGCAACGGCCTGCCCTGATCCCGACGCGTGTCGCGGGCCTGCTGCCAGACCACCTGTGACTGCTGTCCACGTCCCTCGCAGCCCGTCTTTGCAGCACTTCTTCTTCCAACCTCCAACCCCTTGCTTGCTTGTTGCGCCGCCACGTCCGCTTCCATCCCTGCGCACATGTCGGACCCAATACCCGCCGAGCCTCAACCAGCCCCATCCGTCGCCGCCGCCGCCTCGGCCTCGTCACGCTACGAGCTTCTCTACACGCTACGCGGCCATCAAAAGTCGATATCCTCGCTCGCCTTTTCGCCAGACGGCCTCGTCCTCGCATCGGCCTCGTCCGACGCCCTCGTCAAGCTCTGGTCGGTCGCAACGGGCGCACCGCTGGCCACCCTCAGCGCGCCCGCACAGGGCATCAACGACCTCTCGTGGTCCAGCGACAGCACCTACCTCGCCGCCGCCAGCGACGACCGCTCCGTCACCGTCTGGAACGTCGCTTCCGCAAAAGTCGCCCGCACCCTCCGCGGACACACCAGCTACGTCTTCTGCCTCGCCTACAACCACCAGAGCACCCTCATCGCAAGCGGAGGCTTCGACGAGACCGTACGCCTCTGGGACGTCGGCCGCGGCACCTGCCACCGCACCATTGCGGCCCACTCCGAGGCCGTCAGCGGCGTCGCCTTCAACCACGAGGGCACCCTTATCGTCTCGTGCAGCTACGACGGCTCCCTCCGCCTCTGGGACGTCCCCACCGGCCAGTGCCTAAAGACGCTCGAACACAAGGACAAGGCCGCCATCGCATCCGTACGCTTCTCACCAAACTCGATGCTGCTCCTCGCAGCCAGCCTCGACAGCACCGTCCGGCTCTGGGACATCCCCAACAGCAAAATCGTAAAGACCTATAACGGCCACCGAAACCTAAAGTACGCCACCAAGGCCGCCTTCACCCGACCAACTCGAAAGAGCTCCGGGGATGGCGCGCAGCAGACCACCCAAAACGCGGATGCGGCGGGGCAGGCCGCAGCGATACCTCAGATCCACATCGTCTGCGGCAGCGAGGACCACAAAGTGTACCTCTGGGACCTGCAGACCAAGACTCTCGTCCAAACGCTCGACGGCCATCGCGACTCGGTCATCGATGTCGATGTACGTCTACCGCGCCGGCGCTCTCGATCCCCTCGCCCCTCTTGCTCACCCCGTCTCGTCTCGCCTTGCCCCGCCTCGCCCGGTCAATCCCGTCTGTACATCTCGATGCTCTTCCCCGCCAGGTACACCCCTCGAGACCCGTCATCGCCTCTGCCTCGCTCGAACACGACTGCTCCATAAAGGCAAGCAATGCCCCTGTCTCCCCCAGCCCCCTCCCTCCGCCACGACTGAGCTGACGCTCCATCCCCTCCCACGCCGCGCCGTCACGCAGATCTGGACAAACGAACCATAGGTCATTCTCTGGCAACTCGAGCAACCACGTCAAGACTCCCTCTTCCACAGGGCACTCCGTCACCCTACTACACTGTATTTTTAAGCGCGTGGCACAATCGTGAACCGCCGACGTGGCGGCACGGCGGCCTCGACAGAGCCACTGGAGCCGTGCACTTGACCGGATGCCGCCAACGACCGTCGGGATCCCCTACACCCATGACCTTGCGGCAGCTACCGACCGCCGCGTGCCAAGGAAGACACGACGCCGCGCGCTTCCAGCCGCCTCCGCTCCTGTGCGCCGCAACGGCGAACCCATCCGCGCCGACCCGGCTCGGCACGCTTGCTCGCCGTCCGTTACTGCCTCTTCTTGCTGGTGTTGACGGCGCTCTGGCCCCAGACGTTGGCCTCGACGCGGCGCTTCTCCTCGCGGCTCGCGAAGAGGTTGTAGTAGGCGCTCTTGACGAGCGTCTCAAAGGGGAAAAACATTCCCACCCGCCTCTGGTAGTCGGCGTAAGCCGGGTACTTGGAAGCCGACACCGCCTCAGAGAAGCCTGTGCCACAACGTGCAATACAGTAGCCGGGGGGGCGAGAAAGAGGGGAGGAGGGCGGTCCAAGCACAGGATTAGCCAGAGTGACAAAAGGTGCATGTGGGGACGATGGCGAGGCGGGCCGACTCACGGGCCGAAGGATAGAACAGGAGATTCATGGCGAGCGGAGAAGCGATGCCGTAGGTGAGGAAGTGCTGCCACGAGGCAAGGCTGAGGTCGGTGGGCAGGAAGGTGAGCGGGACGAAAAGGTAGAGGATCCACCTGCGGGTGTCGTCACGAAACGCAAGGCAGAGGGGTCAGTCGCTCTACCCTCAGCTCGCCGCACTATGTTGCCGGTAAAGAAGGGTCCCACGGATTAGCATACTCACCAGGTGGTCTGCTCGCATCTGCATGGAGCGGTCAAGGGTCGGGACACGCGGCGACGGCGGGGAAGAGATCAGCGGGGTGCAAGGGCAGGCATCTGCGGGCCGAGGCAAGGTCCGCCTTACTCACGCAAAGTTGGGGTGCCTGCTCCAGGCCCAGAGGCCACGGGTGACAAAGCCACGGTCGGCGTCTTCAGGGAGCGAGAAGGGGGTGTGTTCGGAGCGGAGCGTAGGCTTGCGGACAGGGGCTTGGTCGGTACTGGCGGTGACCTGGGCGGCCGACGAGGTGCCCTGGATGGGCTTGACCGACTTTGAAGCCTGTACCTTTGCGACGGCGGTGGCCGAGGCGGCGAGGGGCTTTCCCTTGGGGTCGAGGCCGCGCTTGTAGTTCTGGTAGTTCCACTGCTGCTCGTCTGCGCGGTACTGGATGGCGAGGTTTGCGACAAAGAGGGCTGCGAGGACCCAGTCGCCGAGGCAGAGACGGTTGACGGGTCGCGGTACGGGTTCGGTGACGTGCTTGATTGAGGTGGTGGTGAGGAGGAGGTACTGGGGCAGCGCGGTGATGGCGAGGAGGATGTTCTGTGCGATGGCGATGAAGAAGAAGCTAAAGATTTCCCACACGGGCCTCGACATGCCGGCGCGGAGGATGGGCCAGCGGTAGTCTTCCTCGCCCGGCTTGAACATGCCGCGTCGGATGGCGTTGTAGGTGAGGCGGATGCACCAGAGGAGCGAGAGGGCCGACATGAGGGCGAGGCGGGGCTCGACCTTGTCCCAAAAACCGGGGTGCTCTACGCCGCCGAGGAGGGTGAGCTTGGCGGGCTGGTAGGTAAAGTACTTGTGGAAGGTGAAGTGGGCCGAGTAGATGAGCGGGAGGAAGGTCCACAGACCGTCGACCTGGCTCGCGTTGCCCGTGATTTTCTCCATGATCCACACGTAGGCCGATACGATGGCGCAGAAGGCCATGGCCGAGTGCATGGGATCGGCATCCTGGTAGTACTGCTGGTAAGTGCGGAGCGAGGTGAGGCTTGCGGCATCGACGCGATGAAGGAGAGTGGGGAAGAAGGCCTTGACCGAGGGGACGAGATGGGTGGCCGAGTCGAGGGCCGGATGGGGCCAGCTGATGGAGGATGGCGTCATGGCTGCGCGTCGGGAGGTGACGATGCAGCGACGAGGCGGGCAAGTAGACCAGACGGTTGGGCGGTGTAAGGGTTGTGGATGTCACCGGACGAGCGAGCCAGAGCAGGGCGAAGACGTGGTGGTCGAGAAGATCGAGAGGCGGACAGGAGGTCGAAGCCAAGGCTTCTTACATATTGCACCGCCAAAGGCAAAGTGGGACGACATCCGACCGACGCGCCCAAGCGGACTGCCACCCCCTCCACTCCCGTAACCATTTGCGTACGGGCTCGAGCCTCATAGCTGCTGCTGCATCAGCCGGCCAGGCTAGGCCCTCTCAGCCGTAGCCGCCAATGCCTTTTTACGTCAGCAGGCAGGCAGCCGTCGAGACGAGTGGCCGGAGGGGGGGGGGGGGGGGGCGCACGTGAGACCCCAACGCGTCCATCGCACGAAGAATCGGCATCGCTCCGATGAACTCCTTCTTTTGGGCCAGCGCGCGCGCCCTTGGTCGCGGACCTGAGCACGCACGGTCGGTTCGGTGTTGGTCTGCTGCTGCTGCTGCTGCTGCTGCTGCTGCTGCTGGCTGGCTGGCCCCATCTTTTTGGCCTGGCCAGGCCAGCCCAGGCGGTGCCATGACAGACTCTGCCTTTCGATCTGCTTTGACCCCCACGCATCCAACCCCGGCATCCGGCACTCGGCGCCACCATCCGACCACCATCACCACCACGCCCGCCACCCAAGCACCGCCTGCCCCGCCTCTCTCCCTCTCAGGCCTTTTCGCAATCGCATCCGGTGCTCGACGACCCAGGCTCCCTGTCTGACTCTTGACGCCGCCGCCACCGCCTGGCGCGCATCACCAAAACAGCCCAACCAAGCCAAGCGTCTCCCTCAACCCAACCCAATCGATCCCATCCCAACCCAACCGGCCCCAGCCCGACCGTCCACAGAGCTGCGCCGCCCGCACAAGCATGTCGAGCTCCTCGCTCGGCTCTCGCAGGCCTGCCTCTTCGGCTGCGTTTTCGGCCACCGCAAGGCCGAGAGCCAGGGCCGCCAGCGTTGCCCCGTCCGCCGCATCGGCCAGCTCAATGGCAGCGGCCAGGAGGCTGACCGCCGCATCGTCGTCGGCAGCCTCCTCGTCAGCCTCGCGGAATCGTCACGAGGCCGACGACGCCTCCTCCGGCCAGCAGCGTCGCAAGCCAGAGGGGCTCGAGACAAACATCCAGGTCGTCGTCCGCGTACGAGGCCGCGCCCCTCACGAGCCCAAGCCCATCAACCCTTCCATCCTGTCCACATCTGGACCAAGATGCAGCCAGATCGACGTGGCAATGGACCCCCCGCCCGTCTCGTCTTCCTCGTCGACCCAGTCCAGCCTCGTTGCGCAGGATCCCGTACGCCAGAAGACCTACCACTTCGACCAGGTCTTCGGCCCCGAAGCCGATCAGGGCATGCTCTACCAGGACGTCGTCGGTCCCATCCTCAACGAGGTCATGTCCGGCTACAACTGCACCATCTTCGCGTATGGCCAGACCGGAACCGGAAAGACGTGAGTGCGGCCCGACAGGCCCAGCGGTCGCATGCCTGCTCCCTGGTCCAATCAACTGACCGACGACGACCCCGCTCCCCTCTGCACCGCACTGTGGATGCTCGGCCGACCTGCAGCCATACCATGGAGGGCGATCTCACGTCGCAGATGGGCACGTACAGCTCCGAGGCGGGCATCATCCCACGCACCCTCTACCGCCTCTTTCACACGCTCGAGCTGTCAAAGGAAGACTACAGCGTCAAGGCGTCGTTCATCGAGCTGTACAACGAAGAGCTCCGGGACCTCCTCAGCACCGAGCCTCCTACGCCCCTGGTCCCCCAGCCCAGCAGCAACAGTGCCACGGCACACGCCCGCGACGTACAGCAGGGCGGGCTGCGGATGTTTGACGATGCCAAAGGTCGGGGCGTCGTGATCCAGGGCCTCGAAGAGGTTGCCATGACCGATGCGGAGCACGGTCTCAACCTTTTACGCCGTGGAAGCCAGAAGAGGCAGATCGCAGCCACTCGCTGCAACGAGAACTCGAGGTGAGTTTGCCTTGGCTCCCTCGATAAGCGAGCCCCGTCCATCCTTGTGCTGCCGTCGCGCAGTCGTGCTCAACTACCGCCGAACCCTGCCTCGCTCCCCTGTCCGCCCCCGTTCCACCAACCCCACCAACGACAGTCGGTCGCACAGCGTGTTCACCATGACCGTCCACATCAAAGACACCGGTTCGAAGGGCGAGGATGTCCTCAAGATTGGCAAGCTCAACCTGGTCGATCTGGCCGGGTCAGAAAACATCGGACGGTCAGGGGCTGAGAACAAGCGCGCCCGCGAGGCCGGCATGATCAACCAGAGCCTCCTCACCCTCGGCCGTGTCATCAATGCCCTCGTGGAGAAGAGCTCGCATATCCCCTACCGCGAGTCGAAGCTCACCCGCCTCCTTCAGGAATCGCTTGGCGGACGGACCAAGACCTGCATCATTGCCACCGTCTCGCAGGAGAAGACCAACATGGAGGAGACGCTCTCGACCCTCGACTATGCCCTCCGCGCCAAGTCGATCCGCAACCGCCCAGAGCTCAACACCCGGATGAATCGCTCGGCCCTGATCAAGGAGTACGTCTCGGAGATCGAGCGGCTCAAGGCCGACCTCACGGCCACTCGCGAGCAGAACGGCATCTACCTCGCTGAGGACAACTTCAAGCTGATGCAAGACGAGTCAGAGCAGCGCAAGCAGGTCGCCGACGAGCTGCGGCGGTCCGCCGAGGTGACAGAGAGCAAGCTCACCAGCCTCAAGGAGCAGTTCGAGCAGAACATGCAGCTCCTCGTCAAGCGTGAAACCGAGGTTCGCAGCGCCAAGGCCGAATGCGCTCAAAAGACGGCCGAGCTCGAAGCGATCATCTCGCAGATCGACTCGCTGGAGAAGGCGGTCGAGGAGGAAACGGCCTTGAAGCGTGCCTACCGCGAAAGCGAAGACCGGCTCAACGACGTCGCAGTGTCGCTCAAAGCGGTCGCCCAGCAGAGCACCGGCGATGTACGGCACCTCTTTGCCAAGCTCGAGCGCAAGTCAGCGGTTGAGATCAAGAATCGCTCGCTGGCGGCCGAGTGCCAGACGTCGCTATCCAGCATGATCGCAAGCCTCGAAGGCCGTATCACCGACCACCGCAACACCCAGGAGCGTTTCCTGGACGGCATGGCCTCTAGGCTCTGCGAATTCGCGCGACGCGAGGAGAAAGGGCTCGCGGCGAGCGACAACTTTATCCAGCAGAGCCTCTCGAAGCTCTCGGCCATGGCCGCCAACATGCAGGACGGTTCCAGCGACGCGCAGAAGGCGGCCGACGCTCTGGCCCAGGAGGTGGATGAAGCACGCCAGGCGCTCCAATCAACCACGCAGAGGCGCCTCGACGCCATGAAGGAGAGTTGTCGATCCCTTCTCGAAGAGCTGGTGTCGGACAACAATGCGCAGCTGTCCCTTGTGCAGGCCTCGATCAGCAGCATGGCCGAGACAGTGACTGCAACGTTGGCTCGGGCGTCCGAGCTGCTCTCGACGCAGCAGCAAGAGATTGCCGCGGCCAAGCAGGCGGCCAAGGACACTGCCGAGGAAGAGATGGCCGAGCTCCGATCGCAAAACGAACGCCTAAAGAGCCTTGTCGAAGCCGAGCAGACCAAGGGCGATGCGATGCGACAGGAGCTGACGAGCGACATCGCCAACCTCCTCGTCAAGTTCACCGAGGCAAGGGACCGCAGCCTCACCGATTCGGTGTCGCACATCAGCTCCGACCTGCAACGCACCCAAGCGAGCGCGGCAGCACACGCGGCACAACACCAGTCCAGGCTTGAAAGCCTCGGACAGGGTGTGGCGGAGATCAACGAAGAGGTGCTGGGCGGCGACCAGCTCGTCCGAGACAAGGCCGAGGAGGGTCGTCTTGCGGTGAAGCAGGCGTCCACAGCGATCACCAGCGGAGCGGAACGCTACGCAGCCGAAACCGCCGAGCAGATCGACGCGGAGCTGGAAGGGGTTACCGCGGCCTGCACGCAGCTTGGCAGTCTGATGGACCGAGGTGGGTGTCCTAGTCCGAAGCACAGCAGGTGTTCCCTTGCCTGCCGTATGCTGACCAGTTGTTTCCTCGTGCTTCGTCTGGCCCTCCGTACCATCTGTGCCGACAGCTCGCCAGGAGGTCGCCTACGGCGCCAAGCGTAGCAGCAAGAAGATCAAGCTGCTAACGGGCGAGGTGACCGAAGCTTTCGACGCTGTGCGAAAGGATGTTCGCTCCACGGCCGACCACATTGCCTCGACCCACCAAGTCGCGGTCAAGTCGGTGAGTCTGACTCTTCTGTTCTGTCCGCGGGCGCTACGCGCGGACCCATGACCTCGACCGACCCGCAACTGACACCACGCATCCTTCCTCATCACGCAGGTTGAAGAACAGCGCACTGCCTCCTTCGCCTTTCTGGGCGGAGCCGCCAGCCACTTGTCAAGCATGCGAGCCGAGTCGCGCCTCTACCTCACCAAGCGTTTCCAAGAGGACATTCCGACAGGGGAGACGCCCAAGAAGCGTCAGTGGTCGTTTCCGCAAAAGTGGGACCTAGTCCCCTCGAGGCGGGACGAGGCCATCAAAACTGGCCGCCTCTTGAACCCCAACGGCGAGCTCAGCATGCAGGAGGAGGCCGAGGTGCCAGGTGACGAGGCCGAGGTCGAGAGGGAGGTGACGTTGGATGCGGCCTCAATCAACGCGGCGCTGAACCCGACCGAAGGACCTTCACGCTCGGCATCGCGCGCATCCACTGCCGTGTCGAGCATTTCGGCCAGCTCTGATGAGATCTCCGCTCCCCCTGCGGATGGCATCGACGTCTCCACCGCCGCCGCCGCCGCCGCCCACGACGACGACGATGATGCCGACGCTGACGAGAGTGACGCCGGCGACAGCAGCAACAAGGCGACGGCAAGGACCTCGAGACGTACGAGGCCCCTCCAGGAGCTGCCCTATGGCCGCAACGCAATCCTGACGCCATCAGCGAGCAGCGAAATGCTCGACGCCGGAAAGGCGCTCAAGGTCGAAGAGGTCATCACTAATGCCAAGGCAAACCAACCCTTGCCTTCGACGCGGACGCGGCCAAAGCGCGCCGCGGCACTGCAGACGCCCGCGACGTCGAGCAAGCGCACGCGGCACTGAGCTTGTCCTCCGCTGCACCTTCCCCTCAATCCCCTCGAGCGCCGCCCATGTCGGCTTGTACCTCTTCCGGTCATAGTGGCCTCTCTTCGGCGTGGACTCTGATTGTTGCGCGCGGCGACCGATTCGCAATTGCCCAGCACCTCTCAGTCCCCGCGGGGTCCCACCTCCCTCGACCTATTGCCATTGGATCCGGTCTCGGTAGACGCTCGGAATTCCTCCTCAGCCCCCGTCGCTTTGCTGCCTGTACTTCTGATATACCCCGCGCCGGATCTCGCCCTCAAAGATCGCCGGTCTGCCCTTGAACGGAGCCAGTATGGCTCTGTGTGATTGTTCCACGCTGCCAAGCAAAGGATTGGCTCGCATGCGAACCTGTGACGATGTGGTGACGAAGTGCTGCTATCAGACTGTGAGCAGTTGTCACTGCGGGAACTTTGACCCGGTGATCATCTCGTAGGCGTCGCGGTATTTTTGCTCGGTGGCCTTGACGACGTCGTCGGGCAGAGTGACGGGTACGCCCTGGTCTGCGGCCTTGTCAAGCCCGTTGGATCTGAGCCAGTCTCGCACGTACTGCTTGTCGAAGCTGCCCTGTGACCGGCCTGGCTGGTAGTCGGCGGCGGACCAGAACCTCGAGCTGTCCGGGGTGAGCACCTCGTCGACGAGGATCATGTGCTGCTCGGACGACGCAGGTGTCGACGTGGACGATGCAGGGACCAGTCCGAATTCGAACTTGGTGTCGGCCAGGATGATGCCACGAGAGCGAGCGTGCGAGGCGGCCTTGGAATAGAGGGCCACGGCCGCCGACGACATCTCTTTCGCGCGCTTCTCGCCGATGATGTCGTTGACTGAGGTGCGGGCAGGCGGGAACGGGTGCCAGAACAACGGCGTTAGAGTGTATCGGCTGACGGCGCGATCCAGACGACATGTCGACGGTAATCTCACCTCTGTCGGGGTGGATGTTCTCGTCGTGAGCGCCCTGCTCGGCCTTTGTGCTTGGCGTGAAGATGGGTCCGCCGGGGATCTCTTGGCTCTCGACGAGACCTTCGGGCAGCTTGATGCCGTGTACGGTGCCGGACTTTTTGTACTCTGCCCATCCGGAGCCGGTAATGTAGCCGCGCACGATGGCCTCTACGGGGAGGACCTCTGCTCTCCGCACGAGCATCGATCGGCCCTCGACTTGATCGCGCACCGGCTCGAGTTGGTCGCGCAGCTCTCTGGGAAAGTCGGCATAGTCTGTGGCGATGATGTGGGCTTCAATGATCGAAGGGCTGAGGAGGCCGAACCAGAAGGTCGACAAGGCATGGAGGAGCTTGCCCTTGTTAGGGATGCCCTGAAGGGGAGAAGGCGACGTTGGCAGACGACGGGCGAGGGCGCCGGCAGCAAGTCGATGTCAGCGAGCTGCAGCCGCACTGGCACCGCAGAGGGCAGAGAAGGGCTCACATTCTGCAGGATGATGTCGAAGGCCGAGATGCGGTCGGTAGCCACAAAGAGGATGGCGCCAGCGTGGGGTCCGCGGTCGAGGCCGGCATCGTACACGTCGCGGACCTTGCCCTTTGCGATGAGCTTGAGGGGCAGGTTGGTGGTGGTGAGGGCGGCGTTGGACATGTTGGAAGCTGCTGTTTGTAGGTTGGGCTAGTGCGGCAAGACGTTATGACGGCGCGAAGAAGCAGGATGAATCTGGGACCAGGCGGGCTAAGGCTGTGGTTGTCGTGGTGGTTGGTGGCTTCCAAAGGAGCTTTCGGGCCACAGGGCGGCGGGCCCAACGCCCAAGAAGTGGAGCAGACGCACGCTCAACCTTTTGCCCAGCCTCGACGGCCTACCGACGAGTCACCGGCCCCATCGGCTGAGACACTCGAATCGGGCCAATGCCTTTTTCGCCAATCGGGTGAGCTCCAATCGGCACGACCGGCTGTCCGTCGACCAAACCATCGATCTGGAGTCCTCGCCCAGTTCCACCTGCGTCCAGAGAGTACCTAGTCTCGAGTGTAAGAGTCTTTGATAAGAAAGACCCGGTCGATAACGTCCATGACCCAAAGCGGGGCGCGATGCTCCCTTGGAGCTCGACGGCAACAAGCACCGGCGCAGCTCTGCCGCGGGTGGTGCGGTGCGCCTGTCACGGCCTGGCCTGGCCTGGCCTGGCCTACCCTGGCTGGCCGAGCCGACGCGCTTGGACCAAAAAACACGCCGGCGCCCGCGCTGCCTGCCCGGCCTGGCCACTGGCCCTACCTGGCCTGGCCAGACCAACACGGCGACACGGTGTTGGTTACAGGCGCCTGGAGGCCTCTGGCAGACATGCACTAGCTTGCACCCTTTTCGGCTGCAGCTCGATACTTTGGCCAGAAAGACGGAGCACGTCTCCACCCTTTTCTCCAGTCGTCGACCATCTCGACTCCCGGCCCCCAATCCACCGACCCCATCTCCCACACACCGTCCCGACGGCGACCCCCAAACGTGCCCGCCTTCTCACAAAGAGCCTTCTCTTTTTCGCCAACGCTCTCCTGATCGGTCCCATATCACACTCGTCCAGTAGGCGACGCTGATCCGGGCCTCTTCCCTTTGCAGGTCTCGCCTCAGGCATACATCGGCAGGCGCCGGTTTTGAAGCGCCCCCGACGGCAACAGCATCGACCTTACCCAGACCGTTGAGGTCAATCGCCCCTCGCGCGTCGCAACGTCGAGCTCCGCCACCATGCCGCCAAAGTCGCCCCAGCTCGACGACGCCGTCGAAGCGACTCCACGCGCTCGCATGACCAGGTCCGCCCTGTCCCGAGGCAGCCTCGCCAGCGCAGCCACCTCGAGCAATCGCCCTTCCTCCGTCGTCGTCGACCTGACCGGTCACCCAGTCGCGGTGCCTCACAGCGCCGGCACCCCCTCTCGCCCCAACAATGAGTCCCTCCGCACCGGCAGAGACAGCTCCCGTAGTCAGTCGTCCTCCAACATCACCGTCGAGGTACCCGTCCCGCGTTCGAAAATCGGGCGCCCGCCCTCGAAGCTCGCATCGTCCCAGTCCATGTCCAAGCTGCGCAAGAGGACGGACGAGACGCCCGCGAGTGCCGCCTCTACTGCCCGCGCTCGCACACAATCTAGCATATCCCATCTTCGCACCCCTTCGTCCGCTACCCACAGCGTCCGGTCTAGCCTCGCATCGACGAACAACGAGGACACGAGTGGCTACGCAGACTGCGAGCCAATCAAGGTGAGCGCCGCATCAAGAGCCCGACTCCTACCTGCACTGCGTCCTGCCCGTCTCGACTGACACGGAAGGTCGCTTTCTGAATACACTCTGTCCATCCGTCAAAGACTTATCTGCGCATCAGGCCGCCGCAGGAGAATGCCAAACGGGAGCAAGCTAGCCCGTACATTGAGGTCGTCAGCGACACAGAAGTCCTCATGCATCCCCCAAAGGAGGTGAGCTCCGATTTCCGCCGCGGATTTGCGCGCACCGCGCCCTTCCCGGACTCCTCTTGACAGCATCCTTTCTTCAATGTCGCGTGTTCAAACGGGGTCCTCCTCAAACAACACCGCAGGCCGACTTGACCAACGCCCGGACCGCAGCCCGAGCTCGCACGCACAGCACCGCGTCTGCGACCAAGTACATCTTCTCAAAGGTGTTTCCTCCTGACACGGCATCTCCAAAAGGCCCCGACGCGCAGCGAGACTCCGGGCAAGCCGCTTTTTTCCGCGACACGACGCTGCCCATGGTCGAAGACCTTCTCAACGGACAAAGCGGCTTGATCTTCACCTACGGCGTGACCAATAGCGGCAAAAGCTACACTGTCATGGGCAGTGGAGGGCCGGGCGAGGCTGGCATCCTACCTCGTACGCTCGACGTCATCTTCAACAGCATCAAGGGGTTGGAGAGCAAGACGGATGTAGGTCGTCGCCTCTCGCTACGCTTGGACAAGACGTAGACGTTCGCAGCCCTTTTGACCTCATCCTGCCCGCGTCTCCCTCCTGCTCGCCACGTCATACCACAGATCCGTCCGATCGGCCTTTCGGGTATCGAGCGTGTCGACGCGTCAAAAGGCGCAGCGACGCACCCGGCCTCGGTTGGGATCGATCCCTTCTTGGTGCCTGGCCTCACGAAAAAGCTTTTCGACAGGGCAACATCACGCTCGCTCAAGGTTCTCAAGGCGCACGACCACGACAGCACCAAGCTGCCTGTGGACCGCAACCAACGCTACAGCGTTTGGGTCAGCTACGTCGAGGTTTACAACGAGAAACTGTTCGATCTGCTCGATGGACCGCCGAGGAGCAACGCTGGATCCAGCAGCGGCCTGGCGCGATCCGAAAGCACGCGCGGATCAAACTGGAGCATTGCCACGACAGCCGCTGGAAGCAGCGACGCTGCTGGCAATTACACGCTGAAGCGCAGGGCCCTGTCGCTCAAGGGTGATTCCAACGTTCCGGGCAAGTACGTCGCAGGACTAAGGGAGGTCAAAGTCAACAGCGCGACTGAGGCGCGAGATTTCCTGGTCCGGGGACAGGAGAACCGCGCTGTGTTTGGGACGAACGCGAACCGTGTCAGCTCGCGGAGCCATGGCATCTTCACAATCAAGCTGATCCGTGAGCACGGCGGCGTGCAATATCTGCAAAACGAAGGCGACGGCGATCTCAGCTCGGGCTCTTACAACGTCGCCAGGCTCAGCATCGTCGACCTTGCCGGCAGCGAGAGGCTTGCCAACACCGGCTTGACATCGGGCGATCGGCTCAAGGAGGCCGGCAACATCAACAAGAGCCTCATGGTTCTCGGGCAGTGCTTCGAGATACTGAGGCAGAATCAGAGCAGAGCCTCGTTCGCGCAAGACGCCGTCGAAGGGCCGATGTTTCTGTCGACAAGCCAGCCTCGCCTTCCGACGGCAGCCAGCAGCACACCACCAAAGAAGAGGCAAAGCCTCGTGCCCTTCCGCCATTCTAAACTCACCGAGCTCTTTCAGAACTTCCTTGCCGGAGAGGGTAAGACCGTGATGATTGTCAACGCCAACCCGTACGACACCGGTTTCGACGAGAACTCGCACGTCATGAAGTTTAGCGCCGTGGCGAAAGAGGTCGGCACGACCCGCGCCGAGCCTGCAAAAGCCAAAGCGATGCCCCGGAAAGCCATGGAGGTCGAGGTGCCTCCGCCAAAGCCCGTCAAGCGCGGTCCTGGTCGTCCTCGAAAAGGGGCACCTCGCGACAGCCAGCGCGATACTCACGCCTCGGAACTGAGCGAAGTTCGAGACATCACAATTGTCGAAGGTGGGCCCGCCGATTTGATCCGATCTACGATTGCAGCTCGACGCCATCTGACGCCCCAAGCCCTTCTTACTCCTTCGCCCAACGGTTCATTCGTAGTTGACGAGTCCGACGACGAGGACGAGAGCGATCCGTTCGTCGACATGCTCGTCGAGAAGCACGAGGAGTTGCGCCAAAAGGTGAGGAGGAGGCCGCATGTCCCTTCGTGACAGTGCGACTCGGATTCTCACTGCAATCCATCTTTCCTGGACTCGTACCACCGCAGCTCTACGCATCTGAATTGCGTTGCGCCCTCATCGAAAAGGAGATTCGTGAGGAAATGGCCGACGAGATGGAGCAGCGGCTACTGGAAATGCAGTCGAGGTACAATCAGAGGCTTGCCGAGGACGTAAGTTGGAACAGATGACATAACTCCTTGGGCTTGACGCCGGAAGCACGGCTAACCAGCGCTCCTACTTTGCCCTCCTCTTGCAGGCTGAGCAAAACGAGCAGTTCGTCAACCGAAAGATCGACCTGCTGGTGCGATCGAGCATGGCCCAAGAGAAGCAGGTCGGCGCCAGCAAGCCCGACAGCGACGACTCTGAGCTCAGTGAGCTATCCAGCAGTGGGGGCAGCGACCTTGACGATGACGAGCAGGGTACAAGCAGGGCCAATGGCCGCCAAGGCAGTAGCGAAAGCGACAGTGGCGAAGACGAGGATCAGAGCGTGATCGTCCGGCAGAGCCAGGCGCTGGACGGAAACGGCGAGAGCGAGAGCGACGACGATGGCGTCGAAGCGGAAGCCAACAGCGACGAGAGCGACCAAGATGACGATGAGGAAGACGAGGATGAGGTGGAAAACGAGCTCGAGCTCGCGGCTACCCGTGGCAACAAGAAGCAACCACGTCCGGTGTCGGATTCGGACTCTTCCTTTGCGAGTGAAGCATCCAGCGACGAGGCGCAACATCGGCCAAGCAAGAGGAGAACATCCAACCCCACGACAAAGACCAAGACCAAGGCTCGCAGCAGTCGAACCAGTACCAACACCGGCCGGAGCGGCCGCGGAGCCCTGACCCGGACGCCCCTGTGGGAACGCAACCAAGACGCCTCGACCATTGCTCTCAGCGACATGAGTGATGCCAGCATGATCGCCGAGGATTGCGTGACACCCAAGCCCAAGAGGTAAGTGCCCGCAGCGCCGTTCGTGATCAAGCGCGGACCTTGTAAGCTGAATCGCAATTGCCGCTGCGTCCGTGACATGACTCTCTTACAGGAAGCTTCGCAAGAAGGCAGCAGTGCAGGAGGACGACATGGTGGACCAGATTGGCGATTCCAGCGTTGTCGAGATTGCTCATCCCACCGGCCTTACGACGCTTCTGAAGTCTCGCCGATCCGTACGTTAGAACTCCTGCAATGGGCCCGTCATACGGCCGCCCATCCCATCGCCGAAGCCAGTGTCAGACGTGTCGAATTAGCGAGCTCTGAAAAGGTCAAGAAAAGAGTTTGCGACACACACATTCATAGCTAGCAGCAGGGCCAACCTACGATCTGCCAGATCGTAGGTAGGCGTAGCCAGTCTACGATTTTCATATCGTAGGAGATCCTTCTACACAAACGATTTATGAATCCAGACAAGTTGTGCGGATTTCAGATTGTTCCCTGGCTACAATATCCAGATTGTAGCTACCTAAGACTTTCAGACTTAGCCAGGGAACAATCAGAATGCAAGTCATTTGTCACCCAGACATGTAGGTGAGTTGTGACCAGCTGGGCTCAAGCGCGTGATGCCAGAGCTTGTAACTGACCATGCTCTCCATTTGCTGCACCTTTGTCCACCTCTGCTTCCGTTCCTGCTTGCTCCTTACCACCTTGCCCCATCGCCCTGGGCTTCTTAACAATTGTTGTCTGCCACCGCCGCTGCCGCTGCCACCACCCTCACATGGGCTTTCCCCCTGCTGCCACACGTGCCCTGCTGTGACATAGGTGCAACTTGACAGGTGTACCATAGTGCAATTCATAGCTAGCAGCAGGGCCTACCTACGATTTTTCAGATCATAGGTAGGCGTAGCCAATATACAATTTTCAGATCGTAGGTAGGCCTTCTACACAAACAATTTCTGGATGCAGACAGGCCGTGCCGATTTTTAGATTGTATACTGTTAGGCCCTTGGGGTGCTGGTAACCGTGGGACGGCCGTGGGCAGTTGAAGCTTGCGCAGAGAGGTCAAGGGTGTTCCCGCGGGGCGTAGGAGAGGTTATCGATGCTGTAATGTTCTCTAACTAGGAGAGGATATAGTACATTCGATGGGGGACCCCCACGGGGCCCACCTGTCTTGTCCTTCTTCTTATACGGCCCCCATGGGCTGGCCTGGGGCTGGTGGCCGGCTGTGGCACTGGCCGACCTCGGATCCGCCTTCCGCGGCCCCGTGGCACCTCCCTGCCCACGGTCGTAACATATACTAGCTACAATTTTCAGATCGTAGTTAGACCGGTCTACCTACGTTTTTCAGATTGTAGCTCAGATACAACAGAAATGCAGGCTACAATCAATTCAACCCCATACTAGCTTTAGTTGCAAGATTAGTATCTATGCTACTAAAACTACGATACTGCTGCCAGGGCAAACAAATGACTGCAGAGCGCAGAAGGAAATGGAGGTGGAGAGAGTAGGCAGAAAGAGGAAATGAGGCAGATACCGAGGCCATTGTCAGCATCGTCAACTGGCGGCAGCACCTGCGCCAGCAAGGAGGCACTCACAGTGAGGGCAGGCTGGGGTCGGCGTTGATCGGTGGTGGCAGCAGCATGTTCATGCAGGGCATGGCGCGGTGCGGAGAGAGCAGTCACAGACCTGAGGAAGGGGGCTACAGGGAAGGAGCAGACTCATAGCTAGCGTCAAAGGACAGGTGGTTTTTGGCCGTACGCCAGCCTACGGCCTGAAATCGGGAGATCGGGGGACATCTACGCTAAAATTGACCGTAGGCAGCCCTGCGGCCAAAATCGGCGATCTCCTACGATAATTTTGGGCCGTAGGGCTGCCTGCGGCCGTTTTTTGAGGGGCATCTGCGGCAATTTTGGCCGTAGGGCCACCCACGGCCATTTTCTGAGGGGCAGCCACGGCATTCCCAGCCGTAGGGTCTCGCACGGCCTGGGCCAACCACCCTACCCTGCGCAGAAAATGGCCCTTCCTGCTTACATCAGCTCAGGAGGCCCTGCGCGCGC